CCCTAACCCTAACCCTAACCCTAACCCTAACCCTAACCCTAACCCTAACCCTAACCCTAACCCTAACCCTAACCCTAACCCTAACCCTAACCCTATGATGTTTTCAGAGACCTCCAAAGGTCATTATATAAGCCTTAACACTCAGTCTCTATCGCCTCCATAAAGACCTTCTTTGATTAATTACCCTGGCCCCACCAGGTCCTTATTCCCTGGCCTTCCTCCTATTAGGTTGTAACATAATTATATAATTATAAATATTTCCTATATATTTAATCACTTTTTTTATAATTCTTTAATTATTAATTTAAGATTATTCTTTTAAATATAAGAAGAAAATTCCAAGCTTTTTTAATAAATAAACCTTAATTATTTAATCTATTATTAATATTATTATTTTTAAATTAAGACATCCCGGATTAATCAATCCAGTAACAGCTATACCTCTGAGGTATAGGTTCGTCGTAGTTTGTTACATATATTTAATAAAAATATATTTTTCTATCTTTTATTAAAAATTTCTTAAAAAAGGACTTAAAAAAACGACATAATAACCTGAGAAATCTCAGGCATTAAATCATCATCGGTAGCCCATATAAGTATATAATCCATAAGACCCAAGTTTTAAAAGAGGTTTTATCAGCGGCAACTTCCTTCAACAGAAGTACACGAAGGGCAACAACCCCTCCCAACATCAGTGGCATTACATAGCTACGCCAATTTTCGACAGGGTGCTGACCCATCCACAACGGAATCAAGATACTCCAAAATAAGACAGCAACGGCAATAGTCCACCTGGCAGTACTGTCGCCATATACAAGCGGAATTGTGGCTCTTCCACGCGCCGCGTCGCCGATCTGGTCGTACAAGTCCTGTGCATGAATGGTCGTCATGATCATACTGGCGCACAGTAGACACCAGTGAACTACGGTCCTATCGTCAAATTCAGAATGTGGCCCTGCGGCAACGCGCATAGCACCGGCACCAATGGTTGTTATACCTGCCGCGTTTAGAAAGTTGCGCATCAGGAGGTTGTCGCTCATTTTCAGGTCGTTATAAGTCCAGTTCAGCGCAAAAAGCAACAGCGTTTCGAGTGTGCTACCCATATAAAACGCGAATGCCAACGTAGTGTACATGCTGGCAAGAAGGAGCTTTTGGGTTCCTTCCACTGTAATTCGTCCGGCGGGAATCGGTCTCCATGGCTTGTTGTGTTTATCTTCCACGATTGAGTCTGGTAGACGCTGGTTTGCTGTGGCAAGGACAAGAAGTTGGAGCCAGATCCAGGTTATAACAGATGGAATACGAGCGAGTGATGAAGAGATCAGCGGTGCACTTCCATTGGCAAATAAATGACCACAGCCACAAGAAAAAAATGCAAAAAGCGTCTGCGGTACGAGGACGGAGACGAAGTCGCTGGCGGTAAATAGGTACAAAGTGTACACCTTCTCGGAAATTTTACCAACGGGGAAGCTATGCGTCTAGTAAAGTTAAGAGCTATTAGTTCTCAACGTCTACCCGGGTAGGTGGTTTATATGATGTCATCCCTTACCAAACTTTTGTTTTTATACCGAACTCCATCAGCCCCAGTCTTTTGAGCATCGAGAGTTGCCCCGGATTTTTTATCGACTGGGGCAGACCTTTGGGGAGGTTTCCTCCCAACTATATTCACAGCTTGCTCTGAAATAAGCGTGGGCATGCCGGGCTGATTGAGGGCCTAGTTGAAATTATGGATCGATGTTCAATCACAAGCACCGCGAAGAGAGGCCTGATTCTATGTCTGGTTTCTATAACCCTGGCAGCTTTCTCTATTTATCTACCTTCTTGAGCAGGTTACCAGAGGCGGAATGCGGCTCTACGGAATCCCGGGTACAGGTATAGCGGACAATAGTTATAACAGCGATAGATTCATAATTCCGCCGCCGTCACTAACGCATTTACCTATGCGAGTGCATAATTGTAGCTAGGAATTTGATGGGGACGACCAACACGACGAGTGTTCTCGCCCTAGTCCCCAGCTGTATGCATACAAGCACGTACCACCCACCAGAGGCCTATTCTAGGTAAGGCGTCGATCGAATATGACATGCAGATATCACGCAGGTATATCAGATTTAGTATGATGATCGAGATACTTCAGCTACTATCCGATAATATGTAGTGTCTCTGGGTCGATATGGATTCCCTTGGCCAGAGCTCTGCGCCGCTTTTTTGCACTTAGAAGCTCACTCTTATCCTCATTTCGAATGTAATATGCGAGGTCGCACTCCGGATCCTTCTCGACTTGACTCACGCCATTTCCAAGCCATGCCCATCTATTCCCGTTGTATCTAACTTCAAAGTCGTCGCCCCTCACACTTGAAATCGCCTCCATGTAATGTAAGCCGCTTCCAGGCCACAAGCTTACGATAGCCGACTCCTTGGAAGACTTGTACCACGAATTGCACAAATCAGCCCATACTGTTTTGTGCATAGCTTCACTAAGGAAAGTCTCGAATTCTTCGACAACTACCTTCTTAGGCGCGAAGGAATGTACATTTTCAGTCTGCCAGCGATCGCACCACTTGAGCATATAGTCAGCTTGAGCTTCTGCTGGCAGAGTTAGCTACTCGCCGAGTTTATTTCAATAACTTAGAGGCATACCGATTGTCGAAAGAAACGCGCCGCTTCCAAACGGGTTGTTAGGCCCATAGAAAACAAAGTAGTTTGGGAACTCTGGAACTGCAAGTGCTAAGTAAGCAGATGCGTTGGAGCGCCAAATGTCCTGTAAGTTTTTCCCATCCTGGCCAAATATTGGGAATTGGGGGCGGTGGGAAGTGTCAAAACCTGTTGCGCAAACCAACACATCCAACGGGTGCTTTGTGCCTTCATGATCTATCACAGCATCCGAAATAATTCGCTTAATATCTCCCATGATTAGTTGGACGTTGGCTGCATGCAAGCTTTCGATATACTTGGTCCCTGGTGTCGGTCTTCGGCACCCTACCGCATATTGCGGGATAAACATCTCGTCATTATATTGGCTTCCCTTCAATCGGTTCTTTATCGTCTGAGTCAGATGTGAGCGGAGTGCGGCCTGCTGCACGGAATCCTTAAGACAGAACCCGAAGTAGCTATTGACGCGCCTCTCAAACTCCTTGCGTTTGGTGAGAAGGTTCTCGGGGTTATCTTTGAAACTCTGGACCTCGTCAGCTGTGTAACGACGAGGTTGCTGACCAAAGGGGCCCAGAACCCAGGTAGGCTGGCGAATAAAGACGGTCAAATGGCCAGCGTGTGGTTGCACGGCTTCGAGGATTTGTTGCCCGGAGGAGCTATACCGCGTTAGGTTATATTACGTTCCGCCGGAATCTACTGATTTCAGTTCACCAACGTACCCGTTACCGATAAGCCCAACCTTTCTCCCCGACGTTTTGACTGGAGTCTCAGGCCACGCCGCCGTATGCACTTTCACTCCTTCAAATTCTTCCAATCCTTCAATATCGGGCCACTTATGCGTATGCAAGAGGCCCGAGGCGTTGATAAGAATGTCGCAGTCATCATAGTATTCCGTTTCGCTAGACTCTAGTCTTAGCTCCCACCGCCCCTTTTCCTCTCTCCACTGGGCCTGTGTCACAGTAGTAGCAAACTTGCAGTATCGTAGTAAATCATGCTTCTTTGCAAAGTCCTCAAAATAGCCTTGCACTTCAGGAGCACTGGCGTAGACGCTAGTCCAGTCCGCCTTCGGTTCCCACGAATAGGTGTAGTTGTGCGCTTCATAGTCGCACGCACACCTACGTAGGGAAGGCATTAGTTTTCTGAGACCAAGAATCGCAAATCATACTATCGACGTACCCTGGGTAACGATTCCGGACCCACACACCACCAACCTTATCACTTTTTTCATAGATGGTAAGTGTGAAATTATCGAATGAACGCTGGAGTTTGTACGCGAAGCAGAGTCCTGAAGCCCCCGCCCCAATGCAGGTAATTTTCATATGACGTTCCGCTCGAATGATATCCATCCTAAAAGTGAAGCAGTGGGAGGAATAAGGAGGTGTCTGCTAGTCGATATCTTAGTCGACACACTTCGGAAATCTCTCCATTTTATAGCCAATTTTCAAACATGAACTGGCCAACTCGAGTTACACAATTACCTAGGCAGTCGCGTATATATAACGGTAAAATAAAGCCACATAGGTAACCTTTCCTTGGTATGTAGGTATCTACATAGGTATTCAGGCACCCAAAGTTTCACCACTCCTAAACCAACCAAACAGGCTTCCCATTAGGCTTGTACATTCACAACCTATCTCATAATGTATCAACTACTGGCAGATAGCTTTTACATGCCAATAGTAGCATTGTCCATTATCGCAACACTCTACGTAAGTCTACCTAGGTATAAGAGGGTCGCCGTCCAGCCAGATCGATATAACTAATTATAATAGACATTAGGGATCATAGTATACAGAGTTACGTTCCATCCTTTAGCAAAATATCCTGGACCGTGGCTAGGTAAGATTACCGACTGGTACTCTGTGATCAGAAGCGTTGCAGGAGACCGTCACATCCACTTTTTAGAACTTCACAATAAATATGGTAAAGCTTCCCTATTATACTACTATACTCCGAAGGCTAACCCGAAAGGACCGTTTGTACGATTCGGCCCAAATAGGATATCAGTAAACACAGCAGAAGGTCTGCAGAAGATATATGGGACAAGGGCTCCCACTCAGAAATCAAGATACTATGACGTATTCAGCGGCGTTTTCAAAGGTGACAGCTCTCTGACTACCATTGATCATGGTCTACATATGAAGAAGAAGCGGGTTGTTTCAACCGCACTTTCTGAAAGCTCAGTTAAAGCTATGGAAGAGATTATATTAAGGAACATTCGTAAATTCACGGTGCAGCTTGGCAAGTCCACACCGTCACAAACAACCGATCTGCACTCTGAATCCTGGAGTTCTCCCAAGAACATGACTGATTGGGCTGACTACCTTTCCTTCGACATAATGGGCGATATCTGTTTCTCCAGTTCCTTCGGGATGCTGGATGGACCTGACAATCGATATATTCTGAACGTTCTCCCTCTTGGGGTGAATGGCCTCAATATTGTAATTTGAGCTATGTTTCAAGCTTATATGACCATACTCTAACAGATATTAGACTGGCTGGATGCCGTGGATTTTAAGGTTGAAGCTTGGAAATATTTTGTTCGCCAAGTTGAATACCGACATGAAACGATACGAAGCTTTCGCAAACGAACAATCTTCAAAACGACTCGCTCTGGAAAATTCGCCCCGTGTGCCGGATGTGTACTCGTACCTTCTCGAGTCAAATAAATCCAGCAAGGAAGGCAATTCGCTCTTTTCGCCCCACGACCTAGTTGGAGAGTCGAGTTTACTCATCACCGGAGGTAAGCCTGTCAGGACATTATTGTTATAAGGAATATTTGCTAAAACTAATCCGTAAGGTTCGGATACTACGGCAACCGCCATATCTGCCACGTTTTTTTATCTTCTCCATAATCCTCCTTCGTACGAAAAGCTAAAGAAGGAAATTCGACCTCGCTTTAGCAGCCTCGAAGAGATTCGTAATGGTGGAGTACTTCAGTCCTGCCGCTGGCTTCGCGCATGCATTGATGAAGCCATGCGGATGTCTCCAGGGGTGCCGGGTCTGCTCCCGCGCGTATTACTTTCACCGGGCGTTGAGATCGCGGGAAACTTCTTCGCTGAGGGAGTTGACCTTGGTGTATCCCATTATGCTATTCACCATAATGAGGACATCTATCCAGACTCATTTTCCTACCAACCCGAACGATGGCTTGTTGAGAGATACCCTAATGAGAGCCAAAACGGGGCCGAGAGTCGCGTTGAGCTGGCTAAGTCCGGTTTCTGTCCCTTTAGCATTGGTCAACGAGGGTGTGTTGGCAAGGGCCTCGCAATGAAGGAGCTCATGGTGACAATTGCACGTGCTATTTGGCTCTATGACCTTCGGCTGATGCCAGGTGAAGAACACCGTGGTTGTGGTGGCTATGGAAAGGGGTACGGAAGACATAGGATCGGAGAGTACCAGCTAACAGACATGTTCGTGTCGAAAACGGACGGCCCGATAGTCCAGTTCCGTAGACGTGTTTAAAAAGCCATACCTATAGAAATATCAACGGGTTACGAAATATGATTACCTTTGGTAATTGAATTGTTCGGCGCAGTATTGATCTAATTGAGACTGATAATGTTGTATTTTGCTCAGATCCTAATATTTCAATTGATAGTAGTTCAATCTATTACAAAATACGGGGAGCGCGTGATGATTAGGTGTGTAAAATCAAATAGTCATACATAATGCCGCTTTCAGTTAATAAAATAAGGCAAGTCCAGTCAGTTATCCATGAGTTGCGTGAAGCTTCCACCCGAATTCCTATCTCCATGGGTAATAGACGTAATCGCAGTGACATTTGTCCCTCTGCTTGCATGTCCCCCAGAGAATCCTTTCATCTGTAAATCGCTGCCACCAATTGTAATAATATGCCTATTATTACGCGGGTCAAGGTCCACTTCATCCTGACTCGGCTTCTCTGGGTCGGGCGTACCGTAGAGGACCTTATTGAAAACGGGACGCATGACGGGCAGACATGCTGCAACAACAGCAATACAATTTTCGACGACCGACCACATGGACGGATAGGAGTTGGCCCAGAACCCGTCGGAGAACGAAACATTAGACACATATGTGACGCGGATGATAGACACGACGACGACGAAAGAGCCGAGGAGGAAAAGGCCAGTCAGCTGAAGCTTGCGACGGAAATCAGTTTTGAGACGCCAAATAATGGGCATCGGAAGACAAAGTATAGAAGCGTCTGTGAGCACATTCAGACTGCTAACAACTATTAATTCCGAGCCAAGGTTAATGCAATGCGGCGTGACAGTTGGATCCCAGTTGGATTTGACAGGAACACACTGGAAAATATTGGTCATAATAGCAGTGATGCTATATGCCGCAACGAAAATACCAACGCCGATGCAAACCCACTTGAAGCGCCTACTAGGAAATACTCGGTAGTATAGGAGGAGGATAGATATCTTGGTGCAGAATAATGCAGGGTTATAAATGACACCAGCTGCTATCGTGGCTTTCGTAAACGGCACGACGTGGTCTGGATGTTCAAGGACCGTAACAACTCGATGCCTGCCTTCTCCGAAGACAGTGACTAAAATGCAAAGGGCGACGAAGACTGAGGTAAAGAACTAAATGAGAATTTGTTAGACCATCAGAACGTTTAGCAATCACATGGGTAACACCAACTAGTCCGGCAATGATCATAAAGTCGTCCATCCCTAGAGCCTGGGCCTTCAAGCGTCTCGCATAGATCCGGAGAATAACTGCGACATAGGCAATTACTATGCAGATAATAGCTGAAGCATAGAGATTTGGTTGCAAGCTTTCATAATAGAGTGGAATTTGGGCTTGGAGATCTGGCGGTAACGCAGCCACTGCCTCCGCCGGAATATTGACCGAAGTAGAGTCCATGTCAGGTTTCGAGTGTAGAATCGGCTAGAACCACGAAAATTCCCACATCTAAAAGTAACTGCCGGCAAGGTCCATATACGGGACGCGATTGAGAAACGACTCAATCTTCAAAGGGTTCGAAGTGGGTAAACCTGTGTACCATTCACCAGCCAGCCGTCTGGGTACCTAGGTATATATGTAGCCAGATACGGTATAATTATGTTTTATAACCTTAAGTACCTAACATCTTCTCGACACAAAGAGCAATCAGGATGCAAGTCCCTAGGTACCTAGGTACAGAAGTTCAAAATTTTCCGTATATATCAACCTGGATATATCGATATCCCCTTTACCTTGAAAGGCTGTGGGTTCTTAATATTGAAGTTAAGACTTCTACCTGTATTGGAAAGGGTTGCTTACAAAAAAGAGAGTCCACGACGACCTCCCCCGATGTAAGATTTTCCCAAAGCTACCAAAAGACTTAAAATACATATGTAAATTACGGAGGATTCAAGTGTTACAACAGCGATCTGGGCGGTTATGGCGGCGGTGGTCCTGTAGATAAGGCATGAGGCATATTACTTGCATTCGACGTTACACAACGAGCCGAAAGGTCATATTAAGCTGAAATGCAGTGTAGTTAGACCGCCATATGTTGCGTAACCCCAGCTGCGTGAATCGAATAATGAGCCTGCTGGGGGTCTAATCGAACTTTGACTAACAATTCTGTTGGTCCTTCATTTTCACTCGGTGCTCTGCTCTTGCATAGGTAAGAGCAGATATGTGGCGGCCCCAATACACATTGCAGATCAATTTGCTGCAGCTAACGTACCTACCTCCTCGGTACTTTTAAAAATAATCTATGTGTAACGAGGCCCGAGCGCTAGGTTACCCCTTTATTCACCAAGCGGTTTACAAGAAAAAACGCCCATTCGTTCCGAGACAGCCGACAATGTAATAAATAAGTTGCTAGTTCCGGTCACGTAATCCTAGCGGTATAGGATCCATCCTACTTCCAAACACTCCACGATGGCCTTCGTAACTTCAAGCCCTGGGAAATATCTCTGGGTAATTGGCGCAGCTTTGATCAATCTTTTTAAGCTCCCTTTTTTATTATGTTATTATATACCCACTTTCACGCGACCTGATCCTAGGTGGACGGTTTTCCAATCAACAATGAACCATTATATGAACTCATTTATCTACCACACTGCCTACGTAGAAACGGTCACGCCACTAGACTTCGAGCCGAGATCTCTCGGAGATCGCTTCATCAGAATCGAAAAGGCTCCCAATTCTGTATACATAGACGTCGCTAAACCCGATTCCTCAATCCTACCTGCCACTACAGGAGGGATTTGGTTTCCATGTGCTCTCAAAGCAACGGCGGAGGGGGGCGATAAACCAGTCATCTTGCACTTCCACCCAGGCGGATATGCGATGGGCGACGTTCGAAATGACGCCGCATTCGCAGCACATAATCTAACCGAAAGGGTTGGGTCCTATGCTCTATTCAATCTGTACAGACTTGCGACCAATCCTAATGGGCGTTTCCCGGCAGCGTTGCAAGACGGAATATCGGCCTATTATCACCTACTCCATGATCTCAAGATTCCCGCTGCTAGGATTGTCATATCCGGCGATTCGGCGGGTGGTCATATTGTGTTATGCATGTTGAGATACATCGCCACCCACGGCAAGGAAGCCGGCCTCCCGGCTCCTTCGTGTGCCTTGGTTGTACGTGACGCTAGGACCTTTCTTTTATCTCCTTCTGGCTAGGTATCTGGGCAGTTATGAGGCTTTATGTATTCTTAGGAGTATTTACTCCGGGAGCACCAGTCAATGCCTCGAACATTTATGTTACTCAACTGACACTCGTTGATGTAGTGGTCACCAGCAATCGACATGATGGTTGCAATTGAACCAGAGAAGATAGTGACAAACCCCAACTACAAGACTGACTACATGGACGAGACGTTCATGTCGTGGGGAGCTAAACGGTTTATTTCTAGGGACCCAACCAGTTCTGGCTACATGAACCCGCTCAGCGCTCCTTTCAAATGTCCATGCCCCCTATGGGCGTTCTGCAGCGAAAACGAACTCTTCTACGGGGAAATTAGTAAGTTCGTGGAGCAAATGAAGAGTATCAGGGATAACGATGTAACATTTAGAGTAGAACCGCTAGGGAATCATAATATCTTCTTCGCTGGCAACCTTACGGGATGGAAGGCTGAGGCAGAACGAGTGGCGAACGAAGCTGGTACATGGGTAGCGGAGATCCAATCGCGTGTATGAAATTATAGCCGAGTAGGGATAAAACGTCGTGTTAGAAGAGGTTCAGGCTAACGTAAGGCTAGCTTCTAGTGTATAACACACCATCAGCTTCACGGCGCCCTTCATCCGAGAGGTGCTAACCCATCAATCTTTAGGTACACAGGAATGATGATAATCCAAGCCACGGTGAGGAGGTTATTTATTCAGGAATGATTACCTGGTGAGATATGCTGACTTTCATTTTCTTCAAACTTCAATAACGACACCCCGTTGGTATCGTCAAAAGACAAATCCTCTCAGACATAATCGTAGCCTCCATATCCGGCCTCAGAGCAATTAACCCATGAACTTTATTGTTCATAATTAGTAACCGTAGCATACAGCATGCCTCGACCTTTCGTTCCAATAGCGAATTGATCGCTAATGCACTCGAAATCTTCAGCTGTGGCATCCTGGAATTGGAAGTTGTAGCGTTGCACAAGGGTGGCAACAATTAAATACATTTCCGCCCATGCTAGACTAGATTATTTGTTAGGAGCAGTGGAGTTTCTTGAGAGTAAAGCACTTACTTCATTCCGAGGCATATTCTTGTGCCTCTTGAAAACGGCATGAAAGTCTTCTCAGCCATCTTACGAGACTCCAAATTCATCCACCGCCCGGGATTGAAGCTTTTAGGATCAGGATAAAGAGCTTCGTCCATATGTAATATGATTGACGTCATCCCAATAGGAGTACCGGCAGGTATTCGCCGATCACCGTAGAAGAAATCCTTATCCGGACTAATGCGTGACATTCGTGTGGCAATGGCCGGGCTTAAGCGAAGGCCTACCATGATAATTGATGTGAGATAAGGTAACTGTTGCAGGGTTTTGACTTCTACGTTACCGGAATCTATGTTGTTGGAAGTGAACTCTGCTCGAAGAAGCCTGAGGATCTTAACGTTATGGGATACATGGAAAATGACAACCCGTAAAGCCCCAGCGGTCGTCTCGAATCCAGCTCCTGTTAAGGTAGTCACGTCCTGAAATATCCGGGCCGCGGATTTCTCGGTTAGAGAAAGTTTTGAGTCTAGTATTGCATGGACTATGGTACGACGAGCTCCCGGATCCTGGTGGGGAGAGGACGCGGACGATATAAGAGTCTTGGTGTCTTTCTCTGTTTCCTACTAACATGTGATTAAGAGTACGCGCTCCTGACTAGATATTGGGAGCTAACCTGAATATGAAGAAAAAATATCTTCATATCATTACCTGCAGTTTTTAGAATCCAGTCAACTGGTATGGCCATTAGCGTGGGGGCAACCCATCGTATGTGCTTGGATAGCCGCCATATTTGCCCTGATCCTTGACTAGCAGTTAACATCGCAACATCAAAATCCTCTCTGCCGAGGCTATTGTAGCTCTTGCCCAGGATGTAGTCGTTGGCAACATCCCTAGCAATAACTGTGATAGCGGCCCCTAAGTTGAACATGGCTCCCGATGAAGCGAAATTAGAAAGTCGACTGGATAACTTATTTAGATGCCGTTGAATAAGCTCTTGCTGACTAGCAACTTTTGCTTTGGAGAAGAGTGGATTTAGGGGTTGGCGACGGGCCTTGTGAAGGTCGTGGTCGGCAGTAAACAAGGTACCACCTTCAGCAGCGAAAGCATCTACAGCCCAGTCATACTTATGCCAACGACCTTCTTGGCGATAGAGCTGTTCTAAGAACGCTGGGTCACTGACATGAAGTTCATAAGGGCTGATTCGGACGATTGGACCTATCAAGGTTAGAATGATAAGTCTTACAATTGGAATTCAAGGTATTACTAAAAGAAAATTATACCATATTCCTTGTGAAGTTGTGCAATCTTGAATGTATACTGGCCATCTTGAACAACGTCATAATAAGCTTCATACCATCGCGTGATTCCAGCCAGTTTTGGGCCAGGAAAGTGTGCAATAGGATGAAGGAACAGGCGATAGAATATAAGACTCGCAAAATAAAGGATGAACGCCACCAGGGCAACAAACTGACTGGTGCATCCATCCAGTACGCATACAAAGAGCTTCCCATGTAGTCGAGGGGAAATGGGTAGACTACCTACCTAGGTAGGTACATTAGGTATAGGAAAGACGAAAGTGAGGAAACCAGCCCGGTTACATAGGTAAGTTGGTTGGTTGGTTATAATATTTATTGTCGAAGCAAGGGGCTTTCAGCCTCCATAACCCTCCCTTTGGTACATGGTACGTAGAACTATCTAGGTACTTAATCGTCAACTTCTATCTGCATAAGGAATAATGGAAGATGTTTATTGAGAATGGGACCGGTATTTCTGGCTACAGGGGTTTTTTTCTTTGTCTTATCAAAACATGGACAAGCCACACATGGCCGTGTATATCCGAATCAACACACAGCCCTCTAGAAGCTAAGCCACGATCACCAAACTGTCTACCCCCAGCAACACGATAGGACACTAATAATTAAGACGCTTCCTATGAATTTATCCTTAGACCCCCACTACTAGTCTAACGATTACATGGTAGGTACCGGATCCGACGGCTAGCTTGCACGCCAGTGATTCCGATAATATATCCGACGGTGTCTTTTCTTGCCGAAAGTGGCATTGGAGCATATACTGCCCTACCATCTGATCGTGAGTACCACAGTAACAACCCCTTAAATTATGGGGCCTCTGGGGTCCATGTATCACGTGACTATACCCCTTGAACCAACAAAGAGATGATCAAGCCTCGGAAATGTTCCATGTAATCAGTTAATTTTGCGTTGCGGGGCTAATGCAAGTACTCTGTAACTTGGGTGAATTCTACTTAGGCCACGAGTGCGGCTGTCGTAAGAACATTGATCGAACAATTGAGAACTCCGAGTCTTACACCATTGGCATCTCCACGATGACTAACCAAATCCGTATTGGTATCGTTGGTGGTGGTCTCGCCGGCATCACGGTAGCCATTGCCTTAGTGAAGCATCCTCATGTGGATGTTCAAGTTTACGAGTCGGCTCCCAAATTCATAGAGCGTGGCGCTGGAATTGGGCTCTCCCCTATAACACTCGAGGCGCTCGGCGATATCATTCCCTCCGCGGTTGATTTCCTGAAGACTCACGCGGGAGCTGTAGAAATCGATGCAGCCCGCCTTGTAGTTGTCTGTACACCCTATAACTACCTAGCTTCACTGTCAATATGATACCGTATTGATACATACGTAGGGTTCGGGGCCCGGGGCCGGTACCCTCATCTCTGATCTCGGAGTCGCCGCCGGCGTCACGTTGAATCGCGCCCCACTTCTACAAGCGCTTCTTTCCCTTCTACCCGGGAACATGCTTCATGCCGCGAAGCGCGTGAGATCGCTGGAGCAAAGCGATTCCGGCGTCACAGTCGCTTTCGAAGACGGCACTGACGCTCACTTCGATGCTGTTATCGGGGCAGACGGTATTTTCAGCTCCATCCGAAATTTTGTCGTGGGAGAGAAACCAGAAAAGTACGCCGCCTCTCCTGCTGGGTGGTGGGATTGTAGACATTTAGTGCCTTTTGAGAAGGCAAAGACGGCGCTCGGAGATGAGTCCTTCAAGGTCGATCGCCAGTACGCCTGGCTTGGTGATGGCGCAGCCATGCTACATGGCATTGTCGAGAACGGAACAATGGTCCAATGCATTATAGCAGTCATTGACAAAAACCTCTCAACCGACCGAAAGAGAAAAGTCACAAGACAGGTTCTTCAGGATGCGCTGCCCGCAAGTTGGTATGAGGGTACCGTGGCTAAGGGTATGGTCGAGGTAAGTTCTTGTGTGGTGAAGTATTTCTGATGTGGAACTACAGAACCTAGTTGCTATGCAATACAGCTAACCACACCGTAGCTCATCTTGGATCAAGAAGACCCAAAGGGTTATGCTATTTGGGAACATAAATTCACGCCTACGTATGCGAACAATCAAGTCTGCATTGTCGGCGATGCAGCCCATACAACATCTCCTTGGCAAAGTGCTGGGGCCGGAATGGCTATTGAGGACGCTTTCATCCTTGGTCACCTTCTTGGGGACATATCATCCGTACAAGAGGTAAATGCCGCATTTAGAGCGTTCGATGCCTTGAGGCGGCCTAGATGTCAGCGGGTCATTGATACCGGTAGAAAGACAGGTCATCTTTTCTGTGGCCAAGATGAGGTTGCTGGACTCGATGCAAGGAAATTGAACGAATCACTAGGTCAAACGTTCGCTCATGTTGGTTCCCTTAACCTAGAATCGCATAAAAATGACGCTTTGAAGACAATGCGTGCATTCCTAGCTAGTTGATTAGGAACTTAGTTGGTACGTACAACAGGAGAGTGTGCGGGTGAGAGAATGGATTCTTTTTACCCCACTCTCCCTCCGAGCAGATACTCCGACAGCCTGCCTTAAGTAGGATTACATGCAATCAGTTGTGTCACATAAATACAAAACATATTGTTACCTACCTAGGTAGTAGGTACCCATGTAAGTTGTATCTATTGCATGTTGTGTTACGTGAAAACGTGATTCAGCCAAGCCAACATTGATATCCAGCCACCATGAATCAGACGTTAGTGGTCTCGCTCCAAGGAATTTTTAGCGAAGTAACACAGGCGGCCAGTATAGTAATTTCAGTGCCTAATAAAGCCCGCGGCCTGTGCCCGGCCATGCTGCCATGTACCTAACAATTCTCGCACATCGAATCTAACAAGTCCGGATCGTCGCCACTCCATCGAGATAAGTTGCCGCTGCCCACACCGTAAGGTTACACTGTAACCCACTCTCTACCAGATGTCTCAATTATCTTTCTAGGTATATTGGCGTACGGCTGGCGTGTCTTGATCCTTTCCTTGCCCGGGCCGATACGTAAGCCGATTGAGCCGATGCCCCAGCCCGATGGATTGATCTCTAGTTTATCCCGCGGATATAAGCAAGATCTTTGGATATGCCGGTGGCTTACCTAGCGAGGGTTCCCCGTGTCAACTTCTTAGCCACCTCGTCGCCCCCAACCCAACACTGTGATTTGAACGTAAAAGGCTCAGGGCGCATACTTAGGTACATTCACACTAAATAGCGCGCCCCTAGGAATAGGGTAGCCGTCTATGAATAAGGACTCCTCCCCTACAGCCACCTGTAATCTCCACAATATCGCCAGTATAGCTAGGGATATCCGAAGGCCCTCGTCAATGCAAGCAAAGAAGTAACAATACCCTGCGAACCCCGATCTGTTCTTGATGTCCCTTCCGCTTGTGGATGCGGACCGGACCCCGCCAGCTAAACACGCGTAAGAGGCTGGGTTCAGCGGTGAGTGGGAAAGCGCGGTTGTTATGGCCGTACCTAGGTAGTCGCAGTATCTCAGCCAGCACTAATGAATACCATGGCCTCCTTTCATGCGACGCTACCACGAGTTTTTGCCGCCTCTCCGAGGAAATCATCCGCGACGAAGGAAAGGCAATGGGACCTTGCGTGCGCATCTAGCGAGAGGCGGGTCCGTACCATCTTCTCCAGCAAGCGGTTTGATTAGCTACCTACCTAAGTACCGAGGCAGGTAATCTTAATAATGGTTTGGAAAGACTCTCTAGTAATGGCAACAGCAAAGGCGACCGCTAGGTATTGACGAATATTTCCACGGTCACGATTTCAGGCATACAGAAGCAGTTGCTCGGGATCCGGGCACAGGTACTCTAAAGAAGCAGAAAAACAACCAGACTCGGCGATGATTTCTTACAACTGAGAGGTTACTCCATCACAGCTACCATGGTCGATATCCGAGCGATCGTAGCAGACATACTTCTCTAAGGCCTTACCACAATCTAGCAAAATGTGGCTAACAAGAATACCCCTCAAGAGCCAACGACTGGCGGTCTTATTAACAGTAAAGTGAGAGCCAAGCTGGCCGAAGCAGTCGAAGACGATATTCGCGGCGGGGACATCGAGAGTTCCCCGCCCCCACCAACTCTTAGGAGGGGCACGTCGTTAAAGGGACAAGCCGCGAGACGACTGTAGAAAAGCTTTCTGGGGTTGAAAAAGGTCCAAAGAGGCCATCTAGGAGTCCGTCTACAAAGCATCCCGTCAATCACACATACAGCCGCTCTCGCTCTTCTACATCTCACACGTGAGGGCCTTCGAGCCGTCAGCATAATAGTCTCCGTTTACTCTCCATTGTCGAAGGGCTTTCCACAAAACATCACGACAAGCCAATCGCAGAAACTCTGAGCTTCTCTAAATACCTATGATACTCGTTAGCCAATTCCCAGCACTCATCCCGGCACTGAAATAAACTGTTAGTCGAATCCCACAACCCTCAAGCATATCTAACTCAACCTGTTTGCGTAGTGTCTTTAAAATCCGACCCGGGGCGCCCAAGTTTCGGCGCACGTCAAACTGTTGCGACTATCTGGAGATACTACCCACGCAATCCCCGTTAATGTGATGTGAACCTCAGTTCTCAAGAACGCACCTAGGTAGTGTACGGCCATTTAGTTTTGGGGGAAAATTTCAGCCTTAACGATATCAGGTGGATCACCTGCCAGCATCATCCGCATTCACATCAAGCTTCCTGTTGTCGAAAAGGTTTGCTCCGTAACGCCCGATATTAATATAAGGATAACACCAGAAACCGCAAGGACTCCGGTTTTATTATCTAGCGACTGGGTGTGACTAGAAGGCTGCAATACTCTTTCTACCCTAGTTAATTACCACGTTAGTACCTGTTTCACCAATAATGTAGCAAGTCCATACCAAGCCACACACGGATGACCAAAAGACGAACATTAGGTCAACCAAGACCTAGATTGAGAGTTCCCTCTAATCAACGCAAGTGTTTCTCCACATTGAATTCAAAGTCCAGAAGATAATTATTTCATAGGCCGGTCTCTTATGGATTTCGCTATAGACAGGGCTTCGAGTGGAATTGCCGTTGGCATGATTATCGGATCGCGATATATCATACCAGACTGGCGCGTTGCCGATGACCTCAGATGAGTTTGCCACAATGATGACGCGTCTCTCCAGCAAGGGCAGCTCCAAATTCTCGCCCACTGCGTTCAAGGTCTCTGAGGGTTTAGTGTCGCGCACGGAAGGTGTCATCGGAACGTCATCAGAACGTACCCTAGCTAGACAATTTTCACATTGTCTTGAGAGCGAAAAGGACCGTGATTGTCGCGTTGTTGAGAACGTAAGTGGCACAGCCGGGGTGTAATGCGGGCTGTACCAAACAACTGGTTTCATTCACGGGTGAAATGACCAGGAGAAGGCTAGCTTGAGTGATGTTTCGATTTCGTCCGGAAGTTCGGAAATCTAGGTCGGAGCGCACCCCGCCATTTGTTCTATCCCACAATGTGGGATCTTGATTCCTCTTTGTCGTCCTGGCCGCCGGCTTCAATAGGATAAAACATTATTAAATGCCAATGGCTATTTACATCCGCTTCGTGGCACCTGGCGGTGGGTTATATCTTTCAGGTAAGCGTCGATGGAGCCACGGCATTCACCAGCTGGGTCATCAAAGCGAATCCCGTTCCAAATACCAACCGGCACGATACATCGGGGTAAGACTCCGTCTGCGAATCTGCTAGAAATGTTCTAGACCGGCGTATAAAAACCTTAATACAGGTCTTTATCAATGGTGAGTAGTGTTCAGGGGATATACACAATTATTAGGGGTTAGGTACGGCGGCGTACGGAATTGAGAGAGTATGATTCAGTCCCGTTTACCAAACTTATTGCGGCTAGCCTCCGTCCCTATTTAAGTTTGCATAATACTTAGCGACGGGTAACGTTGTTCCGGCGTGTTTATACAATGGGGTAAAAGGTTTTTGTGCTAAAAAAGGCGAAAATAAGACCCACCACCACCATTAACCCCTGAATATGGATGCCTAGCGTGACATCTCGGTCGCCAGATTCAACTACAAGCCAACAAACCATTTATTAATACCGATTTAGATAAATATCGAGCCGTGAACAAGGGGAAAATTCAACATCTTTCCATTTTGCATTTCTTACCTCGAAAGATCCCAGCGTTGCGTCCGTGGACACGAATTGCCGCCAATGGAGTCGGTAGACTACTCAGTGCCCCGAGAGGCTCAAGATGTTTTTCGAAATGGCATTCTAGGAAATCCCCTAATAAAAGACATACCAGCCGAATTGCATTCATTAGGGCAACGGGTCCGGTTTGAGGGATCCTCTAAACCGAGTATTCCTATCAATTGGCGGTTTGCCGAGAGCATGGCAGCTCTGAAGGCATTCGAAGCAACCATGCTAAACTATCTTATCACCCGCAAATACAAGGTTGCACCGATAGACGTTACTATAAACACGTAAGTAGAGATATAAACAAGAGACTTCATATTCACAAGGGCTGGTGTGCTACAAGCCGAAGCTCACGATTCAACAGGGACCATGCCTCTTTATTTTTCATGTCGCCAATGCTGGCGCGTGTTCTTGAAGACGGCAAGGAAGTGCCCATCCACTTTGCTGCTAAGAAGACATTTGAATTATTTCCTAGCAGGGATCTACATAGATCCCATGCCTCGTTTCATAGATCTCTTGCGACAAACATATACCGAACCAAGGATGGGCGATATTATCACACACATGGTACGCTCATCCTTCTTTTTCATTTCTGCGGGTGTTGATCTGCGCACTTGCTCATATGACAATCCATCTCAGGTAGTATGAACCCCGAGCCTACCCTCACGGCATTAGGGTTGTCGCTCGAGGGAAACCCGGATGATACCTACGATTCGGCGGTGGAAAGGATCCAAGGGGCAGTGACTAAGTTCGACTCAGCAACGCTTGACGAGCGTATGAATGAGGAATATCGACAGGCAGGAACAATTATATGGTCATCAGATGAGTATTTTACCAGCGAACATGGTCAGAAGTGTGGGAACGTCGGTCTCTACGAAACTGTCAAAGATATCAATTCGTCCCAACCGGCGGCGTGGTGGCCAGAAAATGAAAGCTTCCCATCGTCCCCGCAGCGACCCCTCGCTAGCCTCAAGATCGTTGACTTGACTAGGGTCATCGCCGGACCTACCGTTGGTCGATCCCTCGCTGAAATGGGCGCTAGTGTAATGCGTGTCACCTCACCCAACATTACCGACCTTTCTCAACTTCACCAAGATCTCAACTGGGGCAAATGGAACTGCTTCTTAGATTTAAAGGTTGAAGAAGATAAAGAAAAGCTTAGAGCTTTAATTAAGGAGGCGGATGTCGTCATAGATGGCTATCGACCTGGTATCATGGAGCGTCTTGGATTTGGACGCCAAGCCATCTTCGATCTTGTCAAAGATCGCTCATATGGTATCATCGTTATGAGAGAAAACTGCTACGGATGGCATGGACCTTGGGCCCATCGAAGCGGTTGGCAACAGATTAGTGATGCCGTATGCGATTTCCATGCTCATTCAATAAATAGTGTATCAGTGCTCTAACATTCCCTCGACAGTGCTGTGGCGTTTCTATGTCGTTTGGGCAAGCTATGGGAAACGATGAGCCTGTTACGCCAGTTTTCCCGAATTCGGACTATTGGTGAGCTCACAAGATCGTAATCGTAATTTGTATTAAGTTTGTACTAATAAATTTCAGCACTGGAGTTTGTGGTAGTACAGCTATTTTAGAGGCTCTCGTCCAGCGAGCTGAGCACGGAGGCAGCTATAGTGTTGACGTAAGTCTATCGCTCACTTTACGTTGTTGATAATCACGGGTATTTATCTGATTGACAATCCTAGATCGCACTCAATTACTATTCGCAATGGCTTGTCCGTTCTTGTGGGACGTACGACGATCGAACTTGGAACGAGTTATGGACCCGAAATGGGTCTTTGGTATTCCGCCACTACCACGCCATGCAGCACATGTTGCCCATTATGATCGAAACTCTCCATAAATACAACGAGAATACCCTTTTCAACCCAGCCTTCTTCGAAAATTGCACTGCGGATAACCTTGGGGCTACATTTGTTCGAGTCAAGCCTGTCGCACAATACAATGACACCGTCGAACTAGGATATCACGTTGGCACCCGTGGGAACGGTACCGATCAGCCTGTATGGCCTAAAGATTTGAAAGTCCAAATTGTATCTGGAGAAAATTGATGTTATACTGAGTTATCATACGAAGTATAATGTTTCGACTCGTGCTTACGGCCGGGAGATGAACACTAGCCGTATTATCTGAGCCCAGGAAGGAGCAATAGGAGTCCATTTGCAACAAACGGTCCCAAGTGCATCCAGATTCGAGAAAATTCTACTTTAGCGCTCACTAGGACATGGCAATTGGCGAACTGCGTCGCAAATCTCCGAACCACGTTAACCTAAAAGACATAGACCAACCCTGGAAATGGAGCCGGGTTGGTTCTCTGACGGTTTCCGTGAGGAGTCCGGAAAACACAATGGCAAGGCGGCGGCAATCTAAACACCATGTAGAATATGGAGTTATAAGGAATTATGCCGCCTGCCTGGTGCTTCTCACCTTAATTTTCAATCGTAGATCCTTGCGACCGGATGTTATGACAATGGTATCCATAATTCGTTGTTCGTCCCACCCCACCACAAACGTCCGTGATTGCAATGCCCCTTTTCGCCGACAGGATGTGAGAGCCCAGACCAATGCTATCTTGACAGATCATCCAAAGCCCTCAAGCAATGAGAGCGAACCGTTTAAAACCCAACTTGGGACCAATGGTCACCCCACGAATCCGGAGTACTTCCAGTCTGATTACTATTACAAACGGAAGAAATGCCGACTGTCAACCCAAGCACATATAACCGTTTAACATTTTACTTGAAAGCCCAACTATTTTGCCCGACCATTTTATTCTCTACGCCTGGCATGTACAATGGAATCAGAGGTCTCATCTTACGAGAACTTTCATTATCTTGAAATCGACAATTCCTCACTCGCAAGTGGTATTACGACCCCGACGCGCACAATGACAATAGACGACCCCACAGATGCCCGAAGCTCTTGCGAAGCTCAGAAGTATAATGTCATTGAACCAGCGCCGTACCCCGGACAGACATTTATCATACGGGAACATAATGGAAATCGCTTAATAACTCTCGTGGAAGGCGAGGTTCGAGCTCGAGAGAATATCGGCGAACAGGGCGGATGGCATTGGGTATGTGTGGAGCAAAGAGGGTGGCTTGGGTTTAGAAATCCCGTGTCTTCAACATATCTCGGCCATGATACTCAGGGGGCGTTCTGGGCTAAGTACAAGCATCATATTATACATGAATCATTCTGTGCTCGAAGGCATCCAAACGGCGGCTACGTACTACTTATGCGGCACGATGATGAATTACAAAAGATGGCTATTGGCGACGACGGATGTACCTTGGTAGAAACCACAGGCGACGGAACACCGTGGGACTTCATAAGGGTTTGGAAATGAGTTTAATAAGGCCTTTTTTCAAACCCAAAGAGACAAACGCCTACTCGGTGGGGAAAGAGGCGAAAACGATGGGAACACGGGCAACGCACAGGATGTCGCGCAATTTCAAGATGGAAGAGGGACTCTGAGAGATACGAACCTTGTCATTTATTCCTATAATCATAAAGTCAGCTAGAACCGCTCGTATCACCCTCCTATTCTATAGTTATGATGAGTCAAGTGAGTGAGCCTCGATGGAGCATTTCCATAGTCCAAGACACCTTCGAATAACGGGGAACCACATGTACAGATTTTATCTAGGGAGGTAAACAAATCAGTATTGAACGCAGTATGATTGAAGTAGCTGAGTATCTAGGTATTAATGGCTACAACTCGCCTGAACACACCTAGACATAAACCCAATTGGTTCTGTTTAATCTCTAAAAATATCTATGTTATGAAGATCGCCCTTGAGTTTGACCGGGGTTGAGGAAAGTTGGGCACGAATACTCCTATCGTATCTGAGGGGTGCGGTTGAACGGCCACCCACCAGGTAGCAAATGTCTAGGTACCTAGGGAACTACCGTCTATGCAAGGACGCAAACGCTCCTCGCGTTGGAGTCTTGTTTAAACCCGGCAGGGATAAACTACCTAGGTATATAAGCAAACACACGTTTACCTAATTTCAATTGCCCATCTCCGGATTCTGCGTTCGTTGACAAAACCTAGCCTCGAAAACCAGTTGGCCGCATCACAACCTTGGGTTGAACTGAGCGGGGCGTAAGGGCGCTCCGCTTAAGCGGCCGATTAAGCGACCTAGCTGCATTGCCGAAGCGGTGACGGCCTTGTCCTACGATACTGAAAATGTATAGGTCCTCCCGATATCGATGCGTATGCACGAGGCGCATCCGTTCCATCAGACGGAGTTGCAAACAGTCAAGTGTAATAGCTGCAGGCTAGCATGCATCCATCGTCGCATTCTAAGCGCGAGCGACCAACACGGTTCTAATGATTGGTTATACTTACGCCACTAGAGCAGAACGGATACTTCTCGTCATGTAGAACAATATGTGTCTGATAACCAATCTATCGGTGAGATTTAGAGGTACGACATGAGGGACCGCAGAATACCTAACTGATACTCCTACCGATACGAGTTTTATGATAGAATGCCTACCTAAGTACCAACGTATATATATAAACAGGTTTGCATGAAGTGCCACATTTGTGCGTAAGCGACTCAGGTACCAGAGGAAGATGCCTTGCGGGGAAAAGATATTTCCTCGGGCGAAATGAACTGCGGCGAGGTAAGTGGCGCGATAGAACATCGTGAAATGATAGCGGGTATCAAAATATCTAGAAGTCGCTCGTTCTGAAATGCCGAATTAATAAAGGGGTTACTACTAGGTGTAGAAGGATTTTGTTCCCCGTTAGTTGTCTGAACTATTTTGTACATGGGGGATGAATAATGAACAATGCAAGGCTCGAAGCTTAGGTCAAGCAGATATTTATTATGCCTTGCCTGGTTGTTTATGATATTCCCTGTCGATATCAGACGTCTTCACGTTGCAGACGAGTCTTCTTAGTTTTCGGATCCGAGCCGTCGGTACCTCCACCCTGTTATGTTCCGATTCATTGAAAGCGAAGGACCGGAATGATCCGGTTTTCGAACAATGAAACTTGTTAAAAGTCCTAGTTATAGGATGAATTAGACATGTTTCACTAACACTAAATCCCATCTATGATGCCTTAGATACCTAGGTATTTAGGAGGTAAATAGTTCGAAATCTCTTTACTTAGTTACCTTTTAGGTACTTTGAGGTCTGGGGTAACATCGAAGGATTTGTCAAATCCTCCGCATTGGTACTGAATAGGGGGATTAGACAGAACCAAGATATACCTAACTTAGGGCACCTTGGTAGCCTCTTTAGGAATGAATATCCTGAATAGACCAATAGGAAGAAGAGACAGTAGGGGTCTGTCTGCACCCAATCGCCCTAATTAACGCTAGAACGAACATCAAACATGGCGAACAGACTTGAAACGAAACATCCTTTAAGCCTTATGTAAATTCGTCGTACTGGCCGACCGGCTACGGCAAAAGCATCCTTCATCCCAACTTGACGTGCCTTTTAAAGCCTACCTAGGTAGATAATGCTATTATGAGGGTTTAATATATGCGAAAAATATCCAGGTGCTAATAAGAATGAAACTGTCAGTGCAACCTACGTAAGGTACCCAGGTAGATGATGTCGCAATTGAACCCCGCGATGTGGATAACTCCAAGGCTTCGATGGATCAATAGTAGGGAAGAATGATTTCACGGGTTTGCCTAGGTATGTTCGGTAGGACGCGCGTGGAAGGTCGGCTAAATTAGTCTTTTATATCTTCTAATTGATCATGAATTGAAGCATAGGGATAGATTGCTATACCTAATCCCGCTTAAAATCGTCCCAGCCAGATGGGAGCCCGGGGCTACGTGCCAGGGGCGCGTTCCGGAGAATCATTCGATTGCTCTGTACAGAATCATTCAACTCCTAGTTACTTAAACTTGAATTCATTAGAGCGACTGATTTCCTGGAATACAAGACAAAAGCTTGGTGATACCTACCAAGGTAAGCCGTGTACTATCCAGGGTTTGGACGTAGGGTTTAGTGCTTACGCCGACTTAGGTAAATGGGAAATAGATCAAGTCTTACAACATAGAAGGATTGTTTCAAACCCATGACTCGATATCAGCTAGGTATTAGCAAACAAAATTTTCTGATGGGATCAACGCTTCTAGAATTATGTGACGGTACCTTACTAATACTCCCAAGTGTATTTGAGATGCGACAGAGATAAGGTACTAGGTATTTTCCAAAGTGTGGTTTATAAAGGGAATAAGATGCGAGGGCATTGAAGTATCCGAGATTGCACCGCGGGCAAATATTCGTATTCCATAACTACCTAGGTACATAGATACTTGGGTACTCGGAGAGCACAACATTTATAAAAATCTTCGCTGGTTTAACAAATGTTAACAAATTCGGAAGGATTGCCGATGAATGTCTTCCATCACATTGAGCCTCATCGAACATGGAGTAACCACAAAAACCTGATTATGTTTGGGTTGCGCGGATCCTTATAGGGGAAAGCTTCTAATTTAGATTTATAATCCATTAGATCTGGGATGTATGAAGAATCTCCTCGGCTTCAAAATACTTAAGATTCTCATAAGGGGACTTTTTATTCGTTCACCAAGGTAGGCTAGCTCACAGCGCTTCCTGGTCAACAAGAGCTAGGGTTGCTTTCAAGGTGGGTAAAATGACGGGAAGTCGCCTATCCAGCCACTAAGCACCAGTCTTGAAATGAATTCCTAACCAACCCCCCTGCGGCTCGATTTTCAAAATATTGGTATCTAGTCGCATCGATGTCGGTCACTGAGCAAATCATAAGTGATAGTTGTTTGTAAAAAGACCTTTTCCATAGCCGCGACCCCTGTCAGAAACGCGCTGGTGCTCAATTAATTTGACGGCAACCAACATGAGCGAGACACGCCTTCTTTTTTACAAGAGCTGCGGCCGCCTTTACTAGGCCTTCAGCTTCAAGCCACTTCTGCATTTTCGTCAACTTTTTCTTCTTCTTCTTTACAAGTTGGCAAGGTAGCAATGGCACTCGTCATTTCGCCTTACGATGTGTATTATGGAGCTTTGAATCCCTCCCCTGCTCAACCGGATTCCAGACTTCGATTGATCCCGGGCTCAGACCTGCTGGCGGTCTTAGTTGTGTCAAAGTGTCTGCAGCTAAAAACAGGAGGATTTGATGATTTAACGCTAACTTGTTTACCTAGTCGTATATCGCTCAGGTTTTTTGGGGGGGGGGGGGGGGGGGTTTCTCGAAGACGTAGATGTTTACCCTCCCCCTCTATGTAATGAGATTCACTTGCAGTAGAAAAGTCAAAGAACGTGTGGACCTAATATCTTATACTCAGGTACACTACTGCGTATGATGTCGAGAGATACGTACCGCACGCACACCATTTCCTTGGCAAAGAAACAAAACATTACAGCCTACATGAATATTGCAGCAGCTTGTACCACCTTACCAATGCGGACGGCTTGGCCGGGACAGAAACATAGTCGTCGCTGCTGTAAATTGGATTGTATACAGCCTACCTAGAAAGCAAAAGCACGTTGTCTAGCTCGATAGACCCGATATGCAAGGCGCAAAAGAGGGTCTCCAACTCCTAAAGGTCCCTTGCCCGATGATACCCTAGATAGCTCCAGCCGTCAAGAGGATCGGCCCCCATATATTGTAGGCCCCGGTTAGCTCCAGAATCTCTGAGTACCCAGTCTGAGGCCGTTGCCAAGGATATCCGATATTCCACGCTAAAGCTTTCCGTTTCCCGTCCAGCCAGCCTGCTGCTTAGAAGTATTCACCCCCGTCGACCATCTGCGCCGCGCCACGACATTTCTAGCGTGGGGATTACAGTGCAGATACCTATCGTCTTCGTCTCGGGTCAAGAGAACACAGTCCCCTAGGGAGGATGTACTTTTGATCCATGCTCTCTAGGCCTGGAAACTCCTTTGTTAGATGTCTATCTATGAACCCTGGACCATGGCGTCGAGATATGCTCCCTAGCTGGGATCTCTATAATATGGTAGCAATAGACGAAGTACATGCATACATCATTCTACATAGTACATTGCATCTTGGTAGGTTTGCCGGGGTAAGAAGCAGCCACGACTTGTCAGTCGTCCATAGAGAATAACCAGTGCATCCAGGATATAAACTCGAGCCGATTCCCTCGAGCTGCGTTGGCGATCATCCTCATCTCTTTCATAGAGCGCCTTCTCTCTTATTTGCTCTTTGTTTTCATACTTCCTACAGTTTTCCTCACATTGGGTTTACATCTTTGTTTAGGTATATTTCTTCCTCGTATTCATTCGGGTTTCGAATTTCGTCAATTGACCATTTCAAATCTCGGCTCCGGAAGCCCTCTCTCATCTTGCATTGCATACACGGTTAGAAATACAACCGTACGCGCATACTACTACACATTCTATTTTCTATTCTAAGCGCCGGCCAACCACTCGCCAGCCACCCACACCCACACCCACACGGCCTCGGCCATCTAAGAAACACTGTATTATCCTCAGCTACCGCCTGCAATACCCTAGTATTTACAGAGGTATCCAAGTACAGTTTTTGTTCCCTTGCCCATCCAGTGTGTCGTCTGGCTGCCTTATATCATCTCTTTTGGGGCCATTCCTTCCTAGTCTCTAGCCTTTCTATTCTAGAAAAGAACCACAATTATCAAAATGCAGTCTAAAAGCCTGATTGCATTTATTTCGGCTCTGGCAATATCGTCTGCTTCTCCTCTACGGCGTAGGTGCAGCAACACCACCATCCCACTCACACCCACTAATCCGGCACCTGCGCCTCCAGCGGTCACTACTCCAGCTCTACCTACAACCGGATGTAAGTCTTCAAGCATCCATAGTAATATTTACCTCAAAACTAACATCGTCATAGCCGGCACACAGCTCGCCGGTCCCGGTAACTCTACACTAAAGCATATCCTCATTGGTCATGGAATTCAGAACTACACGTGTGCTTCTGCTGGCGCCACGGCATCCTCTATCGGTGCCTTAGCCGTAGCATGGGATATTACTTCTCTATCGACCTCGCTTTCGTCGGCCGACTTCGATGCGCTCCCCTCTAAGGTATTACGTACGACCTCAATGCCACTCAACCTAGCGACGGACGGCAGTGGTGGGGCCGATGTCTCAGCCCCTTTCCCAGCACCCGCGGACTTGACAATCAATGGTGTGCAGGGCGCCGAGGACTTGAAGTTCATGGGTCACCATTTCTTCGATTTGGCCAACACGCCGACTTTCGACCTGACGGGTGCGGGGGACGGCGAATTGTTCAAGGGCAAGAAGGACGCGGGTATTTCAGCACCTGCCGATGCTGACGCCGGTGAAGACCCCGCTACAGGAGCGGTGGACTGGCTACGACTAAGCGACAAAGGCACGAGCAACGGTGTAAGCCTAGTCTACCGCGTGTTAACAGCTGGTGGAAACCCAGAAGCTTGTACAGAGGCGGGTCAAAATCAAAGTATACCATATGCAGCACAGTATTGGGTGTACTCCAATTAAGCCCGAAGAGTCCCGCGGCAATCAGGGATGGCTTAACAGGATGGCGGGGAAATGTGAGGTCGGTTGGCGTTTCAGGTTTATTGAGGCTTCCAAAGGGATAAGGGCAGGGGGCTTTCGGAGGTTATTACATTGTTACTCGGGTCGATTCGTCGACTTTGTCTATATTTTTCTTCGATCTATACTTATTGGGTTGCTATCTAGCTACGATTAGATGGGTGGCTTGCGCTGCTATCTACGTCGTGACGTATAAAAAAGGCAAGGCAGGATATACCCCCTTTTCCATTCTTTATCTGTTCCAATCCACTCCGCGTGCGAAAAGCGGTGTATATACAAGGAGCAACAGTATCAGAAACTTTTATGACGTTCATATAATATTGTGGCCCATCTACAGTACCTCTATTTTTTACTTGAATTTGCCGTAAAATTGTCTTTCTTCGTCTATACCTTTCTATGTTTGCGCCATTAGGAAATTGTAGCCCATCTAACAGATAAGTAGTAGTGAATCGGAACTTTCTTAGGAGGGTAGGAACCTAGAACAAGGCATATAATCGATAGATGGCTAAAGGCAAAGGATGGGCAGGACTTAAGAGGCCTACTCTTCATGAGGGCCTCATTTCGGTACCGAACCAGCCGCCCAAATAGCACATTACCATAATTCACGCTGTAACGTGTATTTGGTGTAGTACTACATATTGGCACGCTTGGCTATTGGAATTTTCGTTTTATTATACGTACTTAGATCGATAGGTAAATATCTAATCTACCTAGGTACTCAACGCAGCGTCGCAGAGGAACTTCTTTTTAGTTCACCATTACCCAAAACTTCGCGAGTTCGTAATTCTGAAGCCTCTCTTGGCTTGCTAAGGGAAAAAAAAAAAAGGTAGAAACAAGACAACTCTTCACTCTTCCGTGAAAGTTTTATTCGCCGTGGCCTCACCCCTTCTTGTTGGGCGACACCCTCATTCAACATGCCTCGTTCGTTTTCAAAATAGAAACTCGGATACGCATAATCCGAATGCGCTTCTCCAGACAATCCCCAGAAATATACACTGTCTTGCTGCCTGCTCAGCACAGTAGCCAAGCGACTTCAGAAGTTTCGGAGCTTTTTCTTTCCTTCCTTCACATCCATGACCCTCGCCGACAGAGATCGCCGGAGGTGGAAACCCTATCTTCGAACACCACCAGCATCCAGGCCACCTTGAAGTTCCCCTTCCAATCCCATTTGATTCATGTATTCCTGCGGTCGTGGATCCTCAGCACTCCACTGGGTGTTTCCACCAGAAGGCATGGGCACCTGACCTGGTGCAACTTGTGATCCGTTAGCTGGACCCGAGCCTCCGGGCGCCGTCCGGACCAACTGTCGGAAGCGGAACACCTCCTCCTTAATCATTTCGCGCATATGAGCAACGTCGTCAATCACTTCAAAGTCGAAATTGAACGTAGTAGGGCAGTCAGGCTCGTCGGAAGCATCGTGCCAGATTTGTAAATATGGGTGTTCTAAGGCCTGTTCAACACTTATGCGCGAAGAGGGGTCGAAAGCCAACATGCGATCCAGAAGATCAAGCGCGTCGGGGTTGGCGTTAGGGAATAAGGTGGGGAACGGCTTCTTGGCCATGTACGGGAGGTTTCGAACGTATTCTTGGGCGCGCGAAGAACCAATCCGTGATAGGGTGTCCTCGTTGGGAGTACCAAGGATATGAAGAATCTGGTTAAGCTGGTCGACGTAATCGCGACCCTTGAAGAACGGTCGCCCTCCGAGAAGTTCGGCAAGAATACATCCCACAGACCAAACGTCAACTACGAAGAGGTCAGTCATAAAAACCTAGGTTCAGTACCCATTTGAATATTTCCACTCACTGGCTTTGGTATAGCTCTGGAAGCTCAACATAATCTCGGGCGCACGGTACCAACGTGTGGCAACGTATTCTGTCATGTAACCAGCGTTCTCCTCCGGGTCAACCGAAAACCCACGAGCCAAACCGAAATCGCAAATCTTCAGTTCGCAGTCGGCATTGACAAGTAGGTTACCAGGCTTGAGGTCACGATGCAAGACGTTTGCAGAGTGGATATACTTCAAGCCACAGAGGATCTGGTAGATGAAGGATTGGAAGTGGGCATCGGTGAGTGGTTGGCCTGATCGAATAATAGCGGCCAAATCGCATTCCATTAATTCTATAAATTGAACTGGTGAGTATACTAACTACTAACGAAACTTGTTGGTTTCATACCTTCGTATAGATATGTCTCGTTGAAGTTTTCCGGTCGCGGAATATCCATATCGTAGAGGCATGTAATCTAAGCGACAGTGCTAGGTTAGCTCTTTATTCCTTGTTTCAGACAATATTTTTCTGGGTATAAACAATTCCTGCGAGATAAAATAGGGTTGTCTTACATTGCGATGGCCTCGAAAGTGTTGTAGAAGCTTTATCTCGCGCAAGGCGCGCTTGGCCAGGATCTTCTTGCTAAATACATTGGTGACTTTTTTGATGGCGACGCCCTCGTTCGTCTGGTTATTCACGGCAGCGCTGATATCAACAAGCCAACTGTTAGCCATTATTCTCTCCTGACATGTCACCAAACTAGGGGAACGACAAGTAAAAACACACACCAAACGATGCCGTAGGCTCCTTGCCCTAATTCCTTAGTAACAGTGTATCGTTCATCGACAATGAAGTCTTGGTTGAAAACCTTGAAGATTTTACGTCCCTGTAGGTCGGTCATTGTGTCCGAGCTTCGGGATAGCCAGTATTATGTGGTACGGATCGGAGAGACTCGTTTCGGGTTGGGTTGGATTAGGTGTGGTTAATCGGATCAGGTTGCGACTCGGGGTCAGGTTCGACTTCTTAGCCGATTCGAAAGTGGGCGACCCGAACAAAGAACGACAACGGAGGTTGGTCGGCAATGAAGCAATTCTTTTGTGATGGGGCTTTCAATATCCAAGATTTGCTATAAAGCAAATTACCTATATCAACTAAAGAATGATGAGCGATCGTCGAGAATAATTACGGCGGAGGTGGATGAGGGAGAAATGAACGGAGGATGGTCGAGTCACCAAGTAGCTTACGGAGGTTGGATTATATTTAAAAATGGGTTAAGTAAGACGACCTAAAGCGAAAGGACTTGGGACGTAATAGGCCGCTGATCTAAACCGGAGACTAACGAGTACTGGTACGGATACGGGTACAGAGTAATGGACAACGAACGAGGTACGATGTACGATGGACCATGGACCATGTAGCCCTAAGAGGTAATATAAGACTAGCAATAGCAAAATAGAGAGATGGATGAGTAGTCCTAAGTGGGAATAGCCACAACAATTACTACCTCGTCGAGCTGACAATAATAATAAATAAAATGATGGAATAATAAAAAAGGTCACTAATCACCTTCGTTATGCGCTGTATGTAACTCCAACAAGTAATATGAAAGAAGAAAAAAAAGTTGGTACTTGGCAAAGGAAGTTGTTTCGAAGGAGGGGAAGTCTGACAGAACAATGTCAGGGATGGAGGGGCGGCGCACCGTAAGGGCAACCAGACAGGGCACCAGGTGCAGCAGCAGGGGCAGGGCATCGAAACAAAAACCAGAGTGCCGCAGAGAAAGCACTAAAAGCGCTAGAGGGGGGAGGGAGGGGGAGGGAGGAGGAGGAAGGTGGGATGTTCCCCGCAAGGTGGCAGCGATATGGATTGTAGTTGGTCATATCCCCTCGAGGTCGACTCCACTCTACATATGTATCACTTTCGTGCTGTTCCAGGACCAGCGCCAACCTGGGTACCCCCCTGTCCGCCTTGTACCTGTAAGCGCCGAGTACCTAGGTACGGGAAGTTTTGATTGGATCGCATTGTTAAAGTCGATAATTTCAGATGCGATTGCCTCTATTCATATTTGATTGCACGTGTTAAAACTCTAGGAATATCCATTTTAAAATAAAAATAATAGGTTACATATGTACTTGCTCACTTTAGCCGCGCTTTGAAAACGCATTTAACACTTAAGATAAAAAAAGTATCTAACAGAGTAAAGAAAAAAAAGAAAAAGCAAACGCAATTAGGGGGAAAATAGGGGGAAACCTTAGGTACGCTGACTGCGTACCTAGGTAATATCCTAGAGGGCTGAGCTGAGGCTGAGAAGAGAGATTTCCACTTAGCCCCCAAAAATATCTCATCAATGCGACATCGATCTACCTTAGCTTCACATTCGTTCCCGTCGTCATCTTTCTTTTCATTGGCCTGTTTCATAAATAGATCAATGTTAGGTAATTTGACGCTCGTAGGGTCATGATAAATCACCGTTTCCTATCGTATCAAATGGTGCTTACAACATTGCAGGTAGTAATCTTAGCAGGCGCCCCTAGACAATACATACTACCTACGTAGGACTACAAGCTTACCTACATGTAGGCACTTACCTAATGAATAGTGCTGACAAAACAAGACATGACACGATACAGCCCTGGGCAGATGGATCTTCATCCTACCTAGGTACTCGACGTTCTGTCCTAGGACCTACAGTACCTACAGCTGGTATCTTACTACCTGGGTAGGTAGCTAATAGGTAAACACGCGAATCGATTAATTTTGAAACTAGAATTCATGTTCATAAGTAGCCTCTATCAACCGATCTATAGTCTATTCGAGTAATATTGGGTATCATCATAATTTACGCCGTCGTTGTTGTAATCTCCGGAAATCTTTGTTGTAGGAAATTGGTCGAAAATCGCTTGCATTGTTCGAATGCTTTTTCAAAAGCATTACGGCCAACGTAATACGGATCCTGTACCACCTCTTTGCGATTTGTACCCGAAAACTCTCCGAAGAGCATGATTCGCGCCGTAGACGAGGTCGAATTCTTACTTCCGTCCCTACGTCTCTCGATGTCTCTTAGGTTGGCATCATCCATTGCGAAGATATAGTCGAAGTCCCTAAAGTCGCTGTCGCGGAGCTATATGTGGTCACCTATTAGTTCTTGATGCCAATATTTCACCGATCAATTCGCATTCCGTCCGAACTAACCCTGCGTGCTGAATGCGTGTAGTCCATGATGCCGTGCCCCTCGAGTGTAGACATAGTTCGATCGTCGGGTTCGTCACCGGAATGATAACCAGCTATTAAAAAGTTACACTCGTCAGCATGGATTTTTTGGCTAGGAGAAAAGCGTGTGGAAGTGAGGGCGACCCATACCTGTCCCACAAGAGTCTACCTTGTCAATGAGGTTGTAGTAAGGGGAGGACTTGTCTTTCACGATGGAACGGAAGACGCCTTCCGCCATGGTAGATCGACAAATGTTACCCAAGCAGACGAAGAGCACGGATATTTTCTGCGGCGATTGCACCGCAGCGCTTGAGGCTGCGGTCGTGGCCGACATGTCGAATTTCGGTGAGTTGTTCTAGTGAGGAAGATGAATTTGTTTCGTTTTGACTTTTCTTTCTTTAGATTGACACGCTGTACCTTAGGCTTATAGGTACCTAGATAGTGTACCTACAAACCTAATATCCCCGCTAGGGACGCTAGGGGAGTTTGCGTAGCTACCTAGATACCCCACCGCGGGGTAACTCATGTAAAAACCTTACAATGTATTTCTTCCTTCAAAATACTTTCTACCCTACTTCCAATCCTGCTTTCAGTATTGTTATTTAAGTACCCTTCCCTTCATCTAATTTCAGCCGCAATACTCTTTCTTGTTCGTTCGAAAGTCTACTATGTAAGTACGATACACGCTCCAAAAACACCAAAGGGGATGATTATGGCCCTTCTTCACTATGATGGCAGATATTTGTTGGCTATTCCGCCAGGCTTCAAACCTGGGGACATAAATAATCCAGATGGGATAAGAGGGTAACATCGTGCTCCCCATTCTCATCGTATGCTCATGTAGGCTACCCTATACTTGACAAAAATTACCTTAGTGTCCTGTCAACCTCATGCAATAAAACATTGTCCATACGACTCTACGAAACCTCCAAGTATCAAATCATAACCCGATCCAATCATCCCCAATCATCCTACCTTAGGAAACAATATGTGAGATTCGCCATCAAACCCCATCGCAATCATATCGCGCGACCTCATATTACTACTACCATGTCTCAAGCTTTGATCCACGCTGCCAAACTGAAGCCCGAGATTCGTTTAGCGCAAGCTATCTCTGATTATGGCGCCTGCCTCGATGCCCAGCAGCGGGTGTCTTTCAAGAATATCCAGTCCAGCGCACTCCCCAAAGGCATCGACGTGGTCAAATTTACCGAAGAGCTAAATCGGGATGGCCTTCACCAACATAAATCATGGAAGCCCTACAGTACTCGGCTCGTAAGTATACTAGAGCGCATTCAGATTTACGCCGGAGACATTCTCATCGGAGGATCCCAAAACCTCATTGCTTGCGGCATGTGGGCGACTTTTCGAGTGACTCTTCAAGTAAGTAGTTTTTGGTAAATGAGACGATCAGCTTACTGATTCACAAGTAAGGTCGCTATTGGATTTTTAAACTACTTTGATAAACTATCTATATTCTTAATGAGGATTGGAAGACTTTCGTCTATACAAGGCGAACTTGTCAACGTTTTTTCCACCTCTTCCGAAATACAACAGTCCATGTGCGAGTACCTTATTGTACTCGTTAATATATGTCGGAAAGTGACGGTTTCGTTGAAGAAATCTATCTTGCAATAGATAATGGCGAATCATGTCGGTTCATTTGACGCCGAGTTCCAGCCCTTCAAGGAAGAACTCCAACATTGGGCGTTAGTCATTGAGAAGAAAGTACAAGTGCTCACATCGCAATCACAGGCCTCCTCGGAGACGATATTTAGCAAGTCTTTTTCATTGTTTAAACGGCGCGACCTTCATGAGGAAAGAAAAATTTTCCTCCAGTTCCTAGATGATCTCTCCCCAGACCAGGCACGCATTGACCTCAACTGGAGACATCAACGTAAAAAGGGAACCTGTAGCTGGATTCTACAGCATGACGAGTATCTTATGTGGAAATCCGAAACTTATTCAACAACACTACTCGTATCCAGGCACCTTGGTAGCGGGAAAACTGTGGTCCTTGCTAATATCGTCGCGGACTTAGTCCTCACTTCAACCGAAGCTGGAACGGAAACGCCGCTGGGAGAAGTCAAAGAGGAGAAAAACAATCTCGTGGCATATTTTTTTTACCAACCGGGTTTCGCGTCGGATTCGCGCACAGTTCTAGGGAGCATAGCTCGTCAATACTTCGAGCAGGGTGGTATAACTGGAGCCAGAGTTCAACAGATTTCAAAAGAACTTCGCATCAAAACGCTACGCTTCGCCGAAAACGATGACTTTGTTCGTTTCATGGGTGCATTTCTTTCTATGAAACGCTACTACGTTCTGTTGGATGGCCTCGATGAATTCTGTGGACCGGATACAGAAGAAGTCTTGATGGGATTATCAATGCTTGCGAAGCAACGTCAAATACATATATGTGTTTCTAGTCGGCCAAGAACAATATTTGAAAGTCGAATTGAGCAGTTGACACAACCGGATCATAGAATCCCAATGACGACCCCTGCCCGCTTCGCGGAAATCGAGGATTATATTGGCCGAGAAATCCAGGAGCGAAAGCATATTCACATGCTTGATGAAACACTAGAGAAGATAATTCGAGACAGGCTCGTCAACGTGGCCCAGGGAATGTAAGTTCTTTTTTTTTTCACTTCCCTTTCATTCAATAGAAAACGGTAGGCAGTGTTACTTAGTCTACATAAATATTTAGTTCCAGACATCACGGGATTACACTGACGATTATAAGGTACCTATGGGTTGCTCTTCAGCTGGAAGCTGTCCTGCCTCGATACCAAAAACGTGCAATGAACGAAGTCGATTTGATCCAAAGATTGATAGCGTTACCCGACGAACTCCCACGGATATTTGACGAAGCCCTAGCGCACATATCGGACACGCGATATGGCTCGCGAATTTTCCAATGCACTACGGCCGCGCGCAGACCATTGACGCCGACACAACTACGAGTCGTCCTGAATGTCGAACCGGGAAATGATGAATGGAACCCCACAACCATGATCCTTGATAGTCCAGAATGGGTTGGGTATTGTGCCGGAGGCCTCCTCGAAGTCGAAGAAAGTAACATAGTGCAATACATACACCATAGCGTGGAGTTCCATTTGATTATCGATACCTATTCAGTCAAGACCAACCCTTACTGCTTCACGATGGATGTGGCAGATCAGCTTATGGGCTCCATATGCGTCACATATCTCAACTATTCGTTTTTGCAGGGAAGAATGATCCGCTACAACGGTAGAGTTCGAGTGACACAAGAGGACGTCGATCGTACACTCCGATCTCTACTCGCTTCTAGTTTTTCCGCGAAACTTATAGCTCGGGTCAGGAGAAAAAGAATTCCGGAAAGCAATAATGTCGACATTACTCGTGTCATACAAAGCTACTCCCAGAGAAAAACAAGGGAACAAATGGATGAAATAAGCTCATTCCATGACTATGCGAAGCAGGAATGGGAATTTCACACAAAAATATACCCATGTAAAGAGCTTGGTTGGCGTATCGTTTGTTTATGGTTCAACCTTCTGTCGGGAAAATGGACCAACTCGACCTTCAGTACAGACCTAGATCGTGGCTTCACTAGAGAAGACATGATCGAACTTCTCCAAATAGTTTCTCAGCCTCAATTGCGTGCGATTCTACTCCAAAAAGTTTCCTACGACGCCTTTCCAGGAAAGGTTTTCGAGCTTAGCGATCCGGGATTACATGCATCCCAATTTTTAGAAGATTTCGCACCGAGAGAACCAGCTTTATTACAAGGACTTCCCTACAACGCCTATCCAGAAAACACTTTCGAGGTTGGTAGCCCAGAAGTTTCCGATTGACATGCAGACCGATCCCTACGATGAATTCAAGAAGCCGGACGACAAGCACTACAGATCCTATCGGGGAGGTATTATGTGTTCAACAGGCCAGGGCTTTCGATATCTTTGTACATTGGCTCTTAAACTTTTACTTTCAATCCCTAATACCGAAGTGATTGCTATGGCACATCATAGTATTACGGGCCATATCAAAACAAATTCCTTTTAATGACAATTGACAATATCAATCCTGTGACGCTTCGTAAACGTGCTTCAACTGCCCAGCATATCATGATCAGCCATTATGAGGTATTTAAAGCTTTTCATACCTAGGTATCTCCATACATCCCTTAAAAGTGTAATTATATTCTATTCGTCAGACTCCAAGACCAGGTTTAACCCCCAAATGCGGATACGGAGGAATCTAGAAGAATAAGTTAGAATGAGAAGCATCATATTTATTCAGCAGCATCTATCTGATCTATCTGGGGCCTGGCATTCGACGGCCATATTTATGTCATTATGTTAGCGGCACCACGGGTGCAAGCAGTAGTGACCACCCCTTATCCACTTAAATCAACATAGCAATTGAATTAAGAGTACCAAACGGCGTTGGCGCAACAGCCACCTCCATCGCCAATATCTAGGTGGGCAATTGCCTTGGCTCCGGCCTCGTTATCATCCATCTTCCACACCTCAACAAAGCCGGTCGAGTTATCCGTCAAAGCTACGATGCGATCATCGAAGGGGCTGGGGGAAACTGCATTGGCAAACCCACCGCTGTTTGTTGTTTGGACTAGGAAAAGCTGCCTGTTAAGGTGGCCCTCGCCGTCGACCGCGATAGCTGAAATATAGCCCTTGCGTTGAACATCACGCGCGCGATTGCTCGCCCAGAGGTACTTATTATTGGCAGATAACGCTACCTCGTCGGCCCAGAAGTCGGATGCAATATCGTCGTCTGTGATTAGAGAGAATGACGGTCTCATCAGATACAAATCGCTAGTATCCGGGCTAGCATAGTACATTCCAACACCACTTGTTCCCTCCCATACAGCGTAAGCATATTCGCCAGCCGGGTGAGCAACTATGTGACGGGGGTCTGAGTGATTGACGGGCATTTCAAATCTCTGTTTGAAATCCAGAGTTCCGTCAGAATTAATGTCATGTACCCATATCGAGTTTCCTCCGTCGTCTGCCGAGTACAGGAATTTGAAGTCGTTGCTGAAGGAGACGCCGTGGACAGCCGAACCATCGCTATAATTGTAGTTCTGGATTACAGATTGAAGAGATCCGCTAGCATCAACCGACATGACAGTACCACATTGAGCGTTACTGTAAAAATAGTTTCCATATACGCTGTACCAAACGGCTGTTAGCAATTCACGTTCCGGCTAGGGCATATGGCTTATACGGAACAATGTTAAATCTGTCAGGCCGTGAAGTAACAGGTCGTTGTAGGTTAGAGGGCGAGGAATAAATAACATTTACTTACACGTAAGGGGCCTGGGGACTAGAGGTAACAAAAATGCTCTTCGAGTTGGCACAGTTTGCGTCTCCAGCTAGACGGTTCTGGTATTGGATAGTTTGGGCATCCTTGACGCTGTAGCTGACGAAAGACGGTGATTCCGAGTTCCAGTCCGTTCCGTAAAGATTTTTCTTGTCGTGCTAAGGAGTTCAAAGGTTAGTTTTTAAAATTCACATCGTTTGAATGAAAGATTAACCTACACTCAGCGATATCCATGAACTAGCGGCATTGGTAGGAGTCTTGTGGATTAACTGGAGAGACTGGTCCTGGTCGTCGTACGCAATGGTATAGAGGAAGTTAGTACTAAATGTACCGATGATAAGCTGGTGTTTTGTGGCTTCGGCCAAGACTATGAGGCCTACGGCGAAGATCAACGCCTCAAGGACACGCATCTCTATATCTTGATACCCAGTCTTGATTTGTGATACTCGGCGTTCTAATTCTCGAAAGATGTGTCAGAGTGTGAGAGTTGAACTGTGAGAGCTCGGGGACACGTTTAAATGCTAAAGCTCGCTCAAACTCGCAAAACACGTCTAGAAGGCACACTTACATAAGTACCTAGGCATATTCGTATTAAGTGCTGACCTCATGTCTAAGGTTAGGACGAAAGCCGCCCTATTGGACAGGAAACAGATTAAAGCAAACCCGGAAATAACACATACATTTACAGATAACGAACAGGCTCATATCCGACTATGTTACAAACAGATGATTTGCAGGTGGCTCGAAGGAAGGCATTGTGATATTTGTCTCCCATTGTTTCCGCGGCAATAATCCTACACCTTGTACTAGTCACTACCTCGAGATACTGCGGAACTTCACCTTGCCCGGAAAGGAATACTTGGCGGGGGTCTTGATTGGAAGGACCCTGTACCTAGAAAGCTATTCAATACTAAAAGTTCCTACAAACATCAAATGTAGATGAAAATGCCATTCGAGCTCTTTTTTAGATATACAAGGATGTACCGAGTCACCCCCTGTGAAGAATACTTTAACAAACTGGCATTATAACACACATCACTTATTGATGTTTATTGCAGTGCAATATTTTTTATTAAACCATACTAAAATACTTATCTAGTCTTTTCTATTTCAAGACAAACATATTAAACTTGAATCTCGTAGCTACCCACATCGCTCAATCCAAACCTCCTTCACACGGAAACTATAGAAAACCACGAGAAATATTTAGCTACTCGAAATATTAGGGACAATTCATATTAGAACAGATAACATCAAGGAAATTATTTAAATTAGATTAGGTATGTAACAAGCTGAATAGGTATCGTTGATCTTCATTTTAAGTACCTAATAACGCATGTAGCTACTCCTACCTAGGTACCTGGATTCGACAAATACAAAACCTAAAGAAACGTGAAAATCAACTTATATAACCTAATGAGCACACGAGGTTCAGCTTTAAGTAAAATATAAATGTCTGCCATTTCGCCCCCGGTAATGTCGCGTATACTTGTCATTATACGTACAACTCCAAATAGATATAATTATAGGTGAGCTAGGACTCTAGTGGACCTTAGGGGAGAGGTTTGCCGTAGATGCAAGCGGCGGTGGACGACTTGATCGACAATCGGTGAAAGATCTTAGGGTTTGCCATCCCAAACCTTTGCAAGGAAGCTCTCTATCGGAGTGAATTCATAGTCTGGGAATACTTGATTCCACTCATCTGATATATCCCACGCGCCCTTCGAACTACTCAGTAGGATCCCGATCGATACATTCTTGAGGAGATCTGATGCCTGCTCTTCGGATACTGCCTGATGAACCGCACTCAAACCCCACGATGTCTTCAGGTGCCCTGCTTCAATGTCTTCTATCTTTACCTTCTCGGTTTTAAAGGGGCAACCTATGAGCCGTGTTAATGAGCCGCCGTCTTTCAGCTACATATATTTATCAACGGTGGTTGTTATCTTACCTCGGACTCTATGACCAATTCCAAGGACTTGCGAGAATGTGACTCTATTTCCTCTAATGCCACCGGATGTAGGCCATTTTCCCTCGTAATCAACTGCCTGAGCAATGACTGTTGCGGCGTCCGCGACGGTAGTTAAAGTTATGATGGCGCCTTCGTAACCATCTATAACTATCGCACGTCTGCTTTCAAAGTCGAATATAGTCTGCAGTGGGTCGACATGTTTGGACGTCTTGTGAGGGTATGCCAAGTAGTCTAAGAACAAGCCAGGCTGAAATAGAGTGTACTCGAGGATCTATAAGAGGGTCGGGATGTTAATACTCAGTACGTTGACAACAGGAACCAAGTGTCTTACGTCTCCTTTCCTATTGACTTCCTTCAGATACTCTCTGATTATTTCTTTCCCCTGCCACCATGGCATGTTAATTGTATCCTTGCTTTCATTCTGGTCAGCGTGGTGCCCATATACTGGATCTGGTACGGTGATGATTACCTTCCATATTCACTTGGTGCAAAGCGTCTTACGCCCGCAGATATGGCGGCATCGATAAGATTCTTTTGCGACTTCTGGTCTGGATCCGAGAGGATTTGGACAAAAGACAAGACCGTATGGATTCCTAGAAGAGCTTCGACTAAGCATTCCTTATCATCGTAGTCTACGATCTTCCATTGTATCTCTGGGCTTATAACCTTTGCCGCAGGTAATTCCTATATAGTATATTAGCATTAAAGTGCTAGTTGTATACAAATATTTGAAATGTATTGATCACCTTCCGGCTTAATACAGTTATTTCGTGTTTCTTAGCCGCCAACAGAGCATCGATAACCTCCCGGGAAACCTCTGGGGAATGAATTAGCGAGTAACTCAACCTTTTTGCAAGATGTTAAATTTCACATACGTCCAGACCCGCCAGCAATAGCGATTTTGACCATTTTGAGATTATTTTAAGGAGGTGCTCTTCGAAACCGTACTCAAGAATAAGTAAATTGATGGCTGGAAATAATTTGAAAACCCGAACATCTTCTCTATTATATATCCTGATTTATCTTCTCTACGACCTCGACAATAGTACAGAGAGTGCATGTGGTAGTCATGGGGCAGGGGGGCCAATCATTGCTCGGAATATGGAAAAGGGGAGTGAAGAGTACATAAACCCTTGTACAGTTTATTATGTGGAATTATGCTTTGCACAAATCTTCTCCGCCGCGGCGGAAATAACGATAACAACTAACAGGGGTCTCCCTGCTACCCATCTGATCGGCAAAGGACTCGCCTAACTGTACAGTAAGATAGGTACATATTTACAGTATTTAGGCCTACAATTAACACATTCCCTCTCAAAACTTCAATTCCTCCCACCAGCTACCATAATGTAGATTGATGTATGATTGACAGCCTGATTTTGAAATGTCACGCGCATACCCGTCTGATATATCTTCCGCCGCGGCGGGAGAAATATCGAATATGCCCAAGAAACGAAAGATCCGTAAAGGCACTCAAAGTTGTTGGGAATGCAAACGGCGCAAGATCCGATGTACCTTCGCAGCACCTACAGATTCTACATGCGACGGGTGTAAGAGCCGTCGAACCAGTTGCATCGGACAAGAATACCAAGATAAGGCCGCGTTGCCATTACAGAAAAGCAACAATGATAGACTTAATCGTATGGAGTCACTTGTTGATCAATTGGTCGAACGGAATGGTATCGATGTACCGCAGCCAGATCAAGGTGGAAACGCGCCACTGATGGTAAGAAGAAGGTCACCAACTTTTCTTTTGGACTACATATCCTCAGCACTTGTTCGTTAATGAAAGGGTACCAGCATCGAAATACCTCACCTACATATGTAGTTTCAGCCACGATTACTAGTCCGAATGCTGAAGACCACGCAATCGACGACGTTGATCATTTGTCGCGCGCCCTCTTAGCAGTATGGCCCAGCCAACACGATCTCGATCTAATATTGAGCATTCCCGTTGGCGTTTCGGTGTTACTTCATGGCACAGTTTGCCAACCATATTCCACATTATTATCCGGACAAATTGAATCGCCGCGACGCTTGCTAGAGCCGCCCTCTGAAAAACCTCATCCCGTACTCGTAGCAAGGAAATTATTACTATTAGCCACTCTCCTCCAAGGCATTTCACCACCTTCGGCCGCTGACCCCGTCGGTCCCGGTTTAGACTACCACGGCATTATGGTTCGCGCGTTCAATACGGCTACCAAACTCGTAACAAGTAATGACGAGTTCACCAGCTGTCTGGAGTTGCTTGAATGTATTATGATCGAGAGCATGTACCTGAATAATGCCGGAAATCTCCGTCGTGCCTGGCTGGCAAACCGCAGAGCGATGGCGGTGGCGCAAATGATGGGGTTACACGCGGGCATTACTTCGCCGACCATGGCTATCGAGGACCGGACATGGAGTCGTATCCATCCCGGTTACATGTGGTTCCGTATAGTTGCGTCAGATCGGTATCTATCATTGATGTTAGGCCTTCCACAAGGGTCACCCGAGAACAAGTTTGAAAATCTAGAGCCATTAGACACCTGTCTAGCTGTGGAACGCATGGAGCGTATGGAATCAGTTGCGTCTAATTTGATTCTACAGCGCAATAGTGCCGAGCGAACTGACCTTGCAGCAACACACAAAATTGACAAGATGTTACAGGACGCGGCTGCTATGATGCCACCTCATTGGTGGGCAACGCCTTGTGTTGTTACTACTGGCAACGATATAGAAACATTCGAGGAAACAGTTCGCCTGACGAATCAACTTGTGCACCATCACCTTCTAGTTCAATTGCATCTACCATATATGGTGCTACCCTCTTCGACGGAGCTGAGCTACGATTATAGCAAGATGACTGCGACCAATGCTAGTCGCGCAATCGTTGCGCTATTCTTATCCTTCCGCAGTTCCGTCGCAGCTCCTGCATATTGCCGAGGTATCGATTTTATCGTCTTCATAGCTAGCACAACTCTATGTCTTGCACATATCGAAGCTCGTCGTCAGCACCGATGTTACGCTGAAAAAGGCGCGACTGTTTTTCAATCTCTTCAACATCAGCGACCCAGCGACCTTGGACTTCTCGAACGAACTCTTGAAGTTATGGAGACGACAGCCGAAGGAAATCGCGATATCGTCGCTCAGAAGATATCTAATATCCTTCGGCCGCTACTCACTATCGAGAATAATTCTTTTAAAGGAGATCACTATCATATCTACGCTTCTTCGGAAGTTGACAAGGACGAGTCGCAATACTTCGACGACTTACACGCAACTCCCCATCAACTTCACATTCGTATTCCGTACTTCGGAATTTTCCAAATCGAGCATCGTCTTCTCCTTCCAGGCTCTATTGAATCAGCACACATATCTACGGACGAGCAACTTCGTAACTCATTCACATCCCCAGCGGCCGAACCTAGTGCTACTATTCCCTGCGAAGATGACTCTTCATTCGAAGTCAGCGAAGAAAGCACAACATATATATCCCGCCAATGTGGCTACGAAATAGGGTTTGCTCATTCTACCAATGGTGACTGGCAAACTGTGCCGCTGGGATTCGGACACCCTGGCTCCACAAACACCAACCATGACCCTGGTTTACCATCACCTGACATAAACGAGCTGCAAGAGACCTATCTTCTCATGCCTGGCCTGACAGCTGATGTGGATGATTGGGCGTTACAAGGCGTTGATATGGCCTTATTCAGTAATTTTACACGAGGCTCGACGAATCCAGCCCATACGCGATGAGACAGATGGTCTAGCTCGAATTATTACTCGAGGTGGTCCTATAGCCGGAGTAACGTGCCGTTAGGCGTGCGTTTTCTGGGATCAATTGTTTCCAAGACAGTTAGATTTGACAAGGTCTTGGAGTTCCCCCAAAATGCTTCATTTACGTAAACAACTCCGTCGCTGGGCACTAGAGGACCAAAGTAGCGCCGTTCTTTTGGCTGGGGAGAATCCTTCCCGCTACTTTAACGAGTAGTTTACGGAGTAGTCACATTAAGGGTTAGTCCAATATTTCATATTATGCATTGATGTCATTATTTAACTGACTAATGCTATTCAATCAGGAATACCTTTAGCATTCTCCCGTCGTTTTGTAGGTATTGTATGTTTCTTCGCATGATCTTGTTAGGTACTTTTTATCAAAGTACTTTGGTTATTCTCACCTTTTCTAAGACAGTCCTCGCGCATTCTCGGTAGCATGTTCATAACTATAGGCTTCCATGCACCAGTTGAATATCTCGACATCTGCCTGCTACCTTCACTCCTGAGTCACTCAGCCCCTGATGTAATATTCTTTATCCCTAGCAAGTTATTATAAACGTTGAGGCCGGTATGGCCGAGCCTCAAAGTCCTACCCGCCTTTCTGCCTGGCAAATCCTAGCTCATTCTGAATTCGTCCAGCTTCACGACAGGCATCATTCATGATAGCCAATAGGGCTGAGCAATCTAAGCTTAAATAGGAATCCTTGCCATACCCAGTCTTCCCACTCATCTCAATTTTCGCCGAGTTATCCACTTCCAATGCATCAAGGGTTTCGATCCGAGATATCCTTATGGCCTAGACTTTGTTTTTACTTGCATGAAATCCAAGGCTGCCTGTATGCCCAATGTTTGATGTTACCTACTTGCTTGCCATGGCTCGCTCCAATTTTAAAAGATTCAATTACATGTTTGTTACCTACAGGGATGTATACGAAATAAATATCATTATATTTCCTTTCATTTCACCTCTCCTATCTTCTTGACTTCACCAAGCACTCATTCCCTCGCTCATTCGTTCACTCGTCTACCGTGTGCTCTGTCGTTAATTCATAACTCGAATCAAGATGTTCGCCCAACTCGCCCTCGCTTCGCTTCTTGCCACCGTTCCGTTGGCTCGCGCCACCCCGAACGTGACAGCCAAGGTTCTACCTTCCGATGACTGCTCATCTTACCCCGGTTATGATGCCGCAAGCAACACTGCCGGTCCCTGGACTGTTCAGCTAGTCGACAGCGACAATGCTGCTATCGAGGGATTCAGCGATACGTCTGCTTACTCAGTCTCCTTCAACCCAAGCACTGACCGCAAGCCAAGCCTACGTTGGGGTTCCGTAAGTATTCACGTTTTGCATATTATTGTTGACATATATTCTAACGCTCTTCTATAGATCACGTTTCCAACACGCAATGACATTGCCAAGAACCCTTTGAAGTGTGAAGAAGGTATTCTAAAGGGTTACCTGCCAACCGATCTCACGGACGCCGGTGCGCCTACAAGCTACCAGTGGGTCCCGTTGGTCCTGTCGCCGTACCCTTATGACGCGGCCCTAATGTGGAAGATCGACGGCGAGGCACCTCAAATCTTCGAGCACTACATTGATGGTGAGAAGCAGGATGGTGTATTCCTTGGTAGCTACAACGGTACTACGTCCTGGGGCCTAAAGTACAACAGCGCCAATGTCGGATCGACTCGTGACTACTTTTATGCACGCCTTTTGGGACCCAACAGTGCTGACCCCGTGACCAAGCAGCCTTTGGCCGCCAATGAGACTACTGCATTCATCAAGATCTCAGCGTAAGACTTGGGTGACAACACCGGCGCTTCTTCATGCACTCCATCAGCGTTGTTTGGTTAAATGGCATTTCAGATTTGCAGTATGATCCGATGCATTAATATATACACAAGAATATTGATAATTCATACATTATTCTACATTTCGATTAGTTCCTGTTCACCGCATGTATGGAAAATTGGTGATGCTTATGAAATTGTGTATGCTTGCGTCAATGAGGGTGATTGTTCTACTGAGAATTGTACCTTCCGTGGACATACCAAGCTTTCACCTGTCCAGAGATGTGAGACTGACGAGGCTGCGAGGTTGAGGGAGATAGATACTAAGCGAATATGCCAAGAGTATGGGTGACATGGGTACCCCAGTGGGAAAATAGGGGGTTTCTATTACATCAGCATGTAAATACGTATAAACTAGTTGAACGGAGTCTAAACGCCATATGCACCATTCTAAATATAGATTGAAATATTTATTTCAAAGTAGAAACGAAGACTTGGGTTATTATTACTTTTTTTCATTGAACTGTCTCTTCCAACCTCTTTTATCGAAGCGTATAATTTGTGATGAAGAATGGTACTTAAATACCTAGGTACATACCAAGAAACGCTAATGCATCACGGCGGGGTCGTAACTTTAAAAATGTTAAGGTAACACGAAGATGCACCTAGGAAACCCCATCTCCAATCCGACCCATTGATGCTTTTCTTTTCGATTCTACATCTTTTTTTTTTCTCTTCGAATAGCTGCCGTCATCCAGGCCGCGTCCAATCCTTTAGTTATGAATCCCTACGCTTCAACCCCTCGCTTATCTAAAGGCATACTACAACAGCACATCGTTTCCGAATCAAATTCTCATCTATCTTCGATTATCCAACAAATGGTCGAGGCAAGTCCATTGCCTTTAGACGAGATTTCCAACGCTCCTGGCTCGGTTCGCCATCATATATGTAGACCGAGTCATCGCGACAAAGCTACCAATACCCTATCCGAGACATTACTATTCTATATCTATCAAACTACACGACATGGACCACAGAACGGATTTCGGCTTTGCATGATACACCGTGGATATTGTGTTGGCCCGTCGGATCAACCCAACTCCAACGAGGAAGACGATGTAGATCTTTTAGAGAAGCCTATTCCTCAGGGACATGTAGAACTTTGCATTTTAGGCCTTCGACCTACATCTATTTCTAAGGACTCGGAACCATAGCATATCTACCGAAGTCCTAGAACTCAGACCGAGAATGTTGACCACTCCATAGGAATTATATTCCAAATACTCGTATAAATCAACACGCGCAGATCACCTGGCTCGTGTGCAGAAAAGTGCTTTATATTAAATGGCCAACCTAATCATCAGAATAGTCGCACGGTAGTAGTTACAGCAGCATCGATAAGGAGACTTGCGCCGTTGATGTAACTAGCTGCTGGGCTACACAGAAATGCGATCGTATCGGAAACTTCCTCACACTCAGCCGCCCGCTTGATTGGTACGATAGCCGAGATCATTCCCTGAACCTCGGGGTTCTTCCTTAACTCATCATCCAGCAACGGTGTACGCACCCAGGTTGGGCACACTGCGTTTACCCGAATACCTTCAGGAGCATGGTCAAGACCCGCCATTTTGGTAATTCCCATGAAAGCATGCTTCGATATAGTGTAGGAACCCTTGCCTGGAAGTCCGGCAAACGAGTTGGCCGATGCCAGATTGACAATAGCCCCGCGGCCGATGTCGCGCGTGCCGTTTCGACTCTTCCAGGTCTTAGGATCCTGCTTGCGCATGGCTGCCACTTGGGCGCGCACGCAAAGCAAGTTGCCCCGAGCGTTGATATTCATGATGCGGTCGAAATTTTCGATATCAGTATCGGCCAATTGCTTATGAACACCGTTGTCGGTCTTAGGAGTGTCAGCATAGACACAAAGAAATTAAATATATCAGACTCGAGTCAGTGAGGAGTTAACCCGCTTCTAAGCTCGTGAACAGTTACCTACCCCAGCGGCATTAACAGCATAGTCGAGTCGGCCGAATTCCTTTACAACAAAATCAACCATGTCTTGGACCGACTTGTCGTCTCGAACATCCATTTTGAAAATCGTAGATTCATAGTCCTTATTGGTCGCATATTTCTTGCTCTCTTCGGAAGACTCTTTCGCCGTCTCGTCGTTCATATCCGCAAATACGATAGCTCTCGCCCCCGCTTCCGCGAGGGAAAAGGCCGCTTCCCTGCCGATACCGCGGCCAGCCTATATTTTCAACGTGTTAGTAGGCTTTTCACCCGTCTAGGCGACCAGAGCGATCTTCTTACCCCTACTACAAGAGCGATACCGTCGAGCTGAGTACTATTTATCATTGTCAATCGTTCAATCGAATTTCTAGGGAATGAGGCAGCCAGAGTCGACGGCCGGAAGAAGTCAGAACAGCATAGCGAGCGGTATTTATGGGATGATAGTCATGAGCTATCGACCAACGAGCCGATAATCCACGAACAATCTATCTCCTCTTACGTCAACGTTAATGCAATAGTCAGGCACAGCACCAGGTTAGGCTGACCGCTCTTGCATAGTAACTTGCTGTTATATACTCTAAATGCCCTGTAATTAGACAAGCTGATAACCTCGATTAAAGAATAATACGTTATATCAAAGGGCTGACTGAAGACTACCTACAGCTCTCAGCCTCGCGAGTACTTCAGGATAATGCTTTGGAGGTTTAAATCAAGAGAATAAGATCCCAAGTTTTAAGAGAGCAACTCCGGTTGTCACATGTGCGAATAACAAAGTTAATATATCTCTACTTACCACCAGTTTTTAATCAATTCCGATGGTGTGTTTTAGTATGCTGACACTTATACCCATTGTCTCATCAAATCTCGCCTTTCCGCCAATATTTGAGGATGATGTTCTCACACTACCTAGAGCACGCTTTCGATTCCCTTCAAGTTTGGACACGCCGTCATTTCCTTAGGACGACATGCGGCAGTGGCGGATTTGGATCAAAACTCATCACTTTTACTTAGGTACGCTACCACCAAAATCCGCTCTGGCATTGTCGTTGACATGCAAATTGGCGTCGCGTACTTTCTTCCCATCCGTCAAAATACCAGAACAAAACTTGGAGCAGTTCCTATTATTACTCGAGAAAGATGTCAGCCATGACCTTTTTTATTGTCATTCCTACCGTCGCCTACATCCGTTTTCGCGTTATTGGTTACCTACTCGCTGGTACTTTGGCTTAATAGGACCATCCCGTAGTGACTACACCCTACCTATTCGCATCGGATTTCATCACGTTCAGCTCGTGATGAATGAGTATTTTTTTTCGGACCTGGACGAGGACTGGGTTACGGCTAGAGTGTTGGCTCAACGGCAAAAATAATCACGGACCAATTGTATATTTCCATAACACACACGCTGGTTCCCCGCGGAACCCCCGCAAGCAATCGGATTCGGCTCGAAAACCCCGACGCATAACATTTGCCATCATCTATCGAAATATGCCCGCTTGCCATCATGATCGTCTCGTATCATCAGTTAAGAGAGCGTAGAACACCATCGGATTGGAGATGGCAAGCTTTTGCCTTGGGACGGCCGACAACTTCCACTTTCCGAGTGCACTATCTGGACTCGATACATAGACCAGAATCGGTAAAGAGGCAATGGGAGACGTTACCAGATCCAGGAGGGCCATATCAACCTTAATCTGCTGAAAACGCGGTTGGGCGGTTGTGAGACCCGAGTTGTTATCGCTATAATTGGCTGGGTTCAATTGCGGCGCAGCTATACCTTATAAATGACCTATCCATCAATGGGGCCAAAAGAAGTCGACAGCATCGGAACAATCTACATCCCGAGACTCTTGTCTCGAAAATCTCTTGCAAGCGCAGCTTGATGGTTGGCGTGGTTGGCTCCACGTAGATGGTCAGCCCCTCCGCACCCCTGATATCCTCCGGAATTATAATGCGTGGTACTTTAGGTATATACCATCTCTGACGATCGCATATGCTAAAATATCAAAAAGTCTCAAGAGTTTATCGCTCCGCTCTATCTATCTACTTACTTTATATTTATGTCGTTCTCGAACTCTTTTTCACTGGACCACACAATTAATTCGTCCAAATCAGGATACTCAAGCATTCTCCAATCAGGGCTCATACTTGCCCCCAGCCTTAAAGTCACTTGAAATATTTCTGTCTACTATGGACTCTGAGGACATTGACGCCTGGGTCAATGTTCAGAAGAAACTGCCTCGACCACCCACAGACGAAGAACTGAAGGCTTTTAGGGAATTTCTTGATGCTCCAATAGACGAAGTATGGCAACATGCGAAGAAAATAGCCGCGTTCTATCTCAAACCCTTTGAAGAGTCTCGTATTGACGTCTTCTGGTTCGTATTTGGCGATGCGGTTAACCACTTCACTTCCCAAAACGACAAGTTAGCCGAGCTTGCGCTGAAGTTGCAGCGCCTCCCAGATGGTAAAGGGATTCTGGGTCCAGACCCTTGGTGGAGTGATCTTCCATGGTTCAACAACTTCTGGACAGAATGGATGCAATTTCAATGTAAGTAATGTCTCAAGTCACCAAGCATCCAATAGCACATCTGGGGTCTAATATGTGGCCGTCGCCTCAGTCGAGGATCTTCCACGATCCGGTGGAAATTTTGGAGAAACTTGTCAAGCCAACGTAAACCGGAATACCTTCCTGGCCAAGTTGACAGCCAGCATGGGGAAAGTGGCGGTTCTAGATCAGCGCGAGCGCGGAGGGCAAGTCCTCAAATTAGCACTGGAACGGAGACCAGTATCGGAGCCCCACGTCCTTGCTGCAGAGCCCTGGATCGCATACTGCGCAGATAGTATATATGACAGGTCGTTGCAGGGTGGGAACATGAGTTGGGAGTATCCACATAATGGCACAACTTGGGGAGTACAAAAGGGTTGGAGCCAGGCACGCTGGCGTTATTGGCGTAAGAGGTTCCAAGAGATCTCAAAGACGGCAAAGAATAAAATGGTTCAAAATGCAGCGAAGGAGTGCGCTGAACGGATGAGTGCGATAGAAGAGGCAAGGAATTGATACCTACCTAGGTACCCAGGTAAACCTGGAAGCGATCGAGACAATACGTAGTCACGACTACAGCTATACCTTAGCTCGCCTAATATTTCATCCGAAGACAACCAACGCAACCCTTAAAACCTCAATGAGCCATGCAGGACACAGGCGACCAACCTTACAGCCACTTAATATACCCTGGTGCTTGCAATGACGATAACATAAAAAGCTGGGTGCTAGTCCAGGGACACCTCCATTCCTTTGTCGGATTTCTTAACAAAATACACCTACTTTTACACTCAGAGAGGATATCAATCTCATTTAACATCGTACCTGACTGCGATTCCTGACGGAGATCCGATAGAGAGGAAAACCTTACACACAATCAGTGCGTTATTCGCATCACTGGGCACGCCTATTTGCATGATTGCCGCGTTGCGCATGAAAAGGTACAATTTCGTAAATATAAAATGTACCACGCCCAAATGAAAATTCCATAGCTCGTCCGCTTCAACATGTTCATAAACTAGACGGCATACCAACGAAAGCTCTACCATAGCATAGACTCCATCAACCACAACTGAATACCGACTCACAGCGCACACTATTAGCTTATCCACCTTTTGAAATAACCAGCCCAGCGGAGATATACAGTCTTAAGATTAATAATCTACCAGCATCATGTGTCTCCTTACTGAAATCACCACTAGGTGGGTCTGTTGCGACAAAATCAAGAGCGTGGAAACAAACCCATTACAATTTGAACCCTGCCCCAGGCGCGGTACAGGCCAGTGCAGAAACCAAGTGAGATCAATTGAAAAGAAGACGCCAGGGTGGTGCCCTGCGTGCACAGCAAAGGCAAAGAAGGGAAAGTAATAAGAGCAAGAAAAAAGGGGTATGGAATAATGGAAGCGGTTGTGAGGGAATCATACGCAGGAATACTCGAATGATACGAATCCGACTCGGAGAATGGAATCAAGAAACAACACGAACGTGAGGAAAAGCCGGAGAGGAGTCATGGCGATGGCAATGTGTGTAGCATCGAGTTTGTAACAAGCTGCTAACAGCACGTTAAACGAGATTGAAATCATTTTTGGTTATTTACGTCTTCTATTTGCCCGATGATGCCGATTCGAATATCTATTGCGTGAATCCGTAGACGGAGGCCACCGCCATGTCAACGTAGGTCGTAGTAAACGGGTTCGGACATAGCCTTACGGAGCCCATACAACCCCGAGATAGGTAATGAGCTTCCTTTTAGCTTCTAGAGTATCGTGGAATAACAGGGAAGAACCAACTCGTATTATTTCCCATATCGGCTGAATCAAACATGCATATTCAAAGATCGAACCTCCTTCAACTTGGAAGTTCTTTTGTAGTGATCGGGGTCAGCCGCAGTTTGCAACTCTACTGCATGCACGAAGCTGCGGCTCGCCTAACAGGGCTCTGATGTGCACGCTTATACTGCGGAAACAGAGGCATCGGGTTACGGGCTTCCCATATAGGAATAACCCACTGCTCGTGGCTTATTTATTTGCACCTCGGCCTTAGGTATTCGGGTGATGAGCGGGTAACCTAGTCTTTCGGGCGGTGACCCGAATAGGCAACTACCGGGAGAATGTGGCTCCCGTGTAGACGCCGGTGCCGTCGAGCGGCGTTAGTGTCAATCATTTATGCGTTACGTTAGTAGAAACAATCGAACAATAAGCTGTTCCTCGCTTTTCCTGAGATGGTTTAATGTGCGGCTGCGGCATTCTGCACTCAGGGTCGGTACCTACCTAGCCTACCTAGTGTTGATCGAGTCAGTTCGGCTTGCGCTGATCCGATTTGTCCGCAGATTCCTGTGCCTTAATTTACACCCTCGGTTTGACCAAATCGGCAGGGTCTCTAGGGTCGTAGGATGGTAGACACCCTTGCTTGGGCTTCCATTGGAATCGATGCGGCTACAGGTTGTCATCGTGTATTTGCATATTAAATGAGCTTCTCTATTAGGTAGGTCGACCAATGGCGTCAATGGTAGGGGTAAGCATGTAATGCTATCGCCAGCTGGATCGCAATGCAGTGATGCAATATTTGCAAATGGTTCGTTTATTATTGACTCTCTTTCACGGTCCACCTACCACCTCAAGTTACCGATACGATATGTAGGTTGGTAAGCTGTTTTTTTCGAGAGAATGTCGTATTCCTATTTACCTACCTACCTCGCTACAGAATGATGCTGATCTCTGGAGATAAATTCCGATAGGAGAAATCTGGGGCCGCTTGAGGTGAACATGGTTGAAAATAGGTTCCTAGGGTTAATCGACAAACATCCAACCAATGCGAAATGTGGCGGGGCGATGATCATATGTGATTGAAACCGGGGGATAAGAGATAGTAAGCTAGACAGGTGGTTGGATGAGAATGTAAGCTGGATAGTATCTCGTCATTTATTGTAGGGGCTTGACTAAGTCCGCTCTTTGCCCTATCAACGGGTTGGAATGCCAGAGCTACTTGGGTATCCTTTCATATCCCCTGAACCTCCTGGTCGGGAAATTCCACCTTTTCCTTCTTTTTTTTCGCATTTTTGGAATTCCAATTGCTAGGATCTTTTGGCCACTAAACAACATGCTAGATAATAACTAAATAATAAACTACCCGGTTACTACAGCGTAGTCTTAGGACTAATGTCTAAGTTTTGAGATCTGCGTTAGACGGTTCAAGCCTATTGTAGATTGTAATAAAATAAGAATAATCTATTACCTGTAGATGAGAAATTATCATGACGGTGGTATTTTTTTTTTTTTCTTCATGCGGCCGAATGAGCATATCTACGTCATTTTCTCTAACGATGTCAAGCAGCCAAGGTAGCCAAGATCTGGGGAAAGGCTTGTTTTTTTTTCTAGTCCTGGTCTGAGGTCTCACTCTGACGGGCAGGAGACACACCGTCGACCAGGTGGTGTTGTTGATTCACCAGGTAAGAGAGAACTAGAGAACCAACAGAGAGAAAGAAAAAACTACCTGCCAAAAACGCCAAGTCCCAATTAATAAGGAGCTGGATCGTACAAGGGAAAGCCAAGCAACCACCCCACGGCATATCCCAAGATGGTTAAGGTGGTGTACAGCCATGTACGGACAGAGTAGGTGGTGTAGATCCCCTATCTGAAACGCCACAACAGCTCGGCATACAAGGATGTTTAGGCAGGGAATGATGCATAATTACGCAGATCTCCAACGCTGTACGGCATGTCCAGCCGCGCTAAAGTACGCACGAGTCAAGCCGGGCGCATCGCATAGTCCGCACTCGAACTTACTACAGATGGATGGTGTGGCGGCCAACGTGGTTGGTCTGAGGTCCAAAGAAGCTCATGGTCCACCCTGCAGTAAGACAATTGAAGACAAACATTGACCCATGCGCTCATCCCCTTTCATCTCTCTATTTCCTTGTGCCCGTCAAATCAGCATTTAGTGTAGCCCGGCTTCCGAATTTGTCTCTCACATGCTTCCGAGAGTGGTTCCGATAACCCATGGTCAAATCAGGCGAGCAGGATGACCGCAGTTTTTTGGGGAGTAAAAAAGAAAAAGCAAAAATGAGGAAAAAAAGAAGAAACAAAGGCAGCGATCTACGCCAAGTAAAGAAAACGGGGGAATATCCAACGGTAATTGCACGCAACGCTGTCAACGGTACCTTAATTGCCTAGGTGCTTAGGTATGAAAGAAACTGGAGAGTTCACCCAGAAAGGGGCAATAAGGCCGCTCGTCGTTGGACGATGAATTAAGCATATCAAAACCACCGACCAATCAATGCGATACTCGAGACTAGTTGTTCCAAGTTCTCTGGTCCAAGATCTGCTCGCCAAGCCGCCGTGTCCCGCAAACCAGGAGCCCTGCTGCCCTGCCCGTCTCTTCCCCCCTTCCCCCCCCCCCTCGCACAGCCTGAGTCGATCACGATGGGCCAAAGGTTGACTCAAAAGACGTGATTGATCTCGTTCCTTAGTATTCCCGAGTATAGCTTCTTACCCTTAACGGAAGCTCTAGTTCCAACATTTGCCCATTCGCATGGGGGTTTCCAGCTAAGGCGGATAACTAATAGCGACCCTAACTAAGTGCAGCTTTTCTTCGGTCGTCGATTGGGAGATCTGCAAAATCCCCTAGACCAAGACCCTGCTCCATTCAATTCACCTACTCTTTACGTCTATTTCACGATCGCAACGCCCGACGACTCTTGGTTATAAATACCTGGCGAGTCAACCAGCCTTGGCCAGAAATCTTTTTCTCGTCAGGCAAGCAGGTCTCTAGCTGTCATCTCCGGGCTAGCTTCTTTCTTCTAGACATATATCTATCACTTTCACTTTCTTTTTCGCTGTATCCATTCGCTTTTTTTCAAAACCACATTTTTTGGCATTGTATATTTCAGCCATATAGCATATCACAGATATAGTCAAAATGGTTGGATCAGCTAGCACCATCGCCATCGCGGCCGCCGTCGCCGGTCTCGCAACCGCAACCCCGGTACGAACCAAGGTCGGCACTTTCTCCGTCCCTCAGGTCAAGAACCCCGGCTTCAAGCCGCACGGTCCCGCCCAGCTCGCCAAAGCTTACCTCAAGTACGGCGTCAAGCTACCTGAGGGTCTTGCTAAGACCGTGTCCGACTTGAAGATCCTTCGACGTGACAGCGGCAGTGCTAAGACTACTCCGGAGGAGAATGACATTCAGTACTTGACGCCCGTCTCAATTGGCACCCCGGCCCAAACACTCAACCTGGACTTTGACTCGGGTTCATCCGACCTCTGGGTTTTCAGCACCGAGCTGCCGGCCGGCTCTGTCAACGGACAGACCCAGTACGACGCAAGCAAGAGCAGCACCGCTAAGAAGCTCAGCGGCGCTTCTTGGGACATCTCCTACGGCGACGGCAGCTCGTCAAGCGGTGATGTCTACACAGACACGGTCACCGTCGGTGGCGTTACATTCAAGAGCCAGGCCGTCGAAGCTGCCAAGCAGGTTTCCGACCAATTCCAGACCGACTCCAACAACGACGGTCTGCTAGGTCTTGCATTCAGCAGCATCAACACTGTTACGCCCACAGCCCAGAAGACTTTCTTCGACAACATCGCATCCAGCCTAGACACTGCAGCCTGGACTGCTGACCTCAAGTACCACGAGGGTGAGTTATTCTCAATTTACTATGTATACATGTCTATAAATCAATTACTAACATTGTTGACTAGCTGGTACTTACGACTTCGGTGTTATTGACAGCTCCAAGTACACCGGTGACATCACCTACACTGATGTTGACTCGAGCCAAGGCTTCTGGAGCTTCACAGCTACCAGCGCCAGCGTCGGCTCTGGACGCAACAACACCGTCCTTAAGGCGTCCGGCTTCTCCGGTATTGCCGACACCGGTACCACCCTTGCTCTTTTCCCTGACTCGGTTGTCACCGCCTACTACAAGCAGGTGACAGGTGCCAAGCTGGACAACACGCAAGGTGGATACGTATTCCCGTGCACCACTACCCCTCCCGACTTCACCTTCGGTGTTGAGGACGCCACCATTACGATCCCCGGCAAGTACATCAACTACGCCCCCGTCGACGAATCCGGCTCCTCCTGCTTCGGTGGTATCCAGACCGACGAGGGTATTGGCTTCTCCATCTTCGGTGACGTCGCCCTCAAGGCTGCCTTCGTCGTCTTCGACAACTCCAAGGGCACCCCCAGACTCGGCTGGGCCGCTAAGAGCTCGTAAATTGATGATACGCGACGCGATCCCCGGAGGATTCCACCTACCTAGGACGCGCGCTGGGAAATATTCGCGCGCTACTTGAATTGTATGAATGTATAGATGAGGGACTAGGCTGGGGGATGATTGATAGATGAGACTTGTATATGATTGAGGGGGTGGATGCAGTAATTTGCATGTCACTTTCTTGGGTGGTAATGAATTCTATTGGAGCCTTTCATGTTCAACCTGATAGCTTCGTATATATTTAACAATTGTCAATTACTCCGAGCCTTTTTACTGTGATTTACGATACTCATTTTTCTGCAGACGCACCGGAGTTACTAGACGACCGATTGGCAGGGCTGTCGCATGTGCAGTAACACGACTTGATATGTCTCTCAAAATCAAGGAAAAATATGCATTTCTTAGAAAATTACACTTCCTAACAACCCAACAGCGGCTAGTGGATTTTGATCGGAGACCCTGGGTGCCTAGATTAGCGCGTCTCGCAGGCATCGCCCGGGTTGGTTGGTTCAGGATCAGTCGACCGAATTGAAGAGCAGGATAATGCGAGCCCTAAGTTTCTACATTGCCTGCCTAGATAGGTACTTAGTAGCTACCTAGGTAAAAGTCTTATTGAAACACCTCTCCATTATGCAACTCAGCGCAGGGGTTGGAAGACGGCTCGCTTGCTTCGGCGCAGGGGGGCCGACGAAAACCTTTTAGATGCGTATGGCAGAACATCCCATGATTGGAAACGGGGAGATCCTTCATTGCGACAGCAAGAGCTGCCACAAGGAACAACGCCGAAGCAGAGACTTGCGCGCCTTCGTCATACTATAAGAATTCTTACCACGCATCTATGAACTCGGGCATTGCCTGATATTTTTGAATGGCTCAGAATATGCATTGATCGCATATGGTCACGAATCCCTGGACCACTCGAGAGACTTGTATGGCACCAGGCATGACTTCATCTGCACCGAATGCAAGAATCCCCCATGGGATGTATTCTTCGCCTGCGCAGCTTTTCCTGAGAGCCTTTTCTGTGTATCTTGCAAAGAGAACACGAGAAACTCGGAGTACGAACCTACTAATTCGGAATGTGAATCTACCGACCTAAGATACGAACTTATCAGCTCGGAAGACGAATATAGCGAGTCAGAACACGAACCTACCCAAACAGCCCACGGATCCATTACTGTAACAGCAGACGATTTCGTTTCCGTGGCCGTAGATCATTTCACTTCCGCACGTAGTACTTTACTCGGGGACACTAACCAGACCATTATTGGATGGTTAAACAAAATCAAACAAGAATTTGGGGCTGACTCACAAGATGGAGTTGGCGGTCCCCAATGAGTCTCATATAATCATGAGGAGTCTCGGGGAGAGACAAATACTCTGGTGGAATGCGGAAAGGTATAATTTAGAAGGCTATGTGGTGAAGAGTTTGGGTGGCGTTCTTTAATTTTTCTAGCCTATCTTGATTTATGTTTTGAATGACTTTTGTATGCTTAGGCGTAATATCTCGTGCAGGTAAATTGATGAAGCTTCGAAACCCTTTGAATCGACCCTTATATTCCTTCTATAGCCAGACGCCATATGATAATTGTCATCGTGATATCCTATCTGTTCCGTCCTCCCGAGCTGGCGTAATCTCCTACCTCTGTTCCCCACCAACACAAACAATACGCCCTTCAACCCTCGGCGCAATCGCCCTGGTCCAATCAGCTTGAAACTCACCCTTCTTCAACTCTTCTCCAAGCCTCGTCTGCACCTTCGCAACCCGCGCCCACTTAGCAAACACTCTACGCATGATCTGCATCTCATTGTCAATTGTGTCGATATCGCCGGCGTACTCTCGTTCCCCTTCCTCAGTTCCTTCTTCGTTATCGGACTCGTCGACTGATGTGGCATGCGTCTTCCGCTCGCGAATCTTTTGCGGGGTCCAGTTATCCCATCCCGAGACCTTCGTTCGCATTGTTGGGCTGACCGGAGTTGTGGTTGGGGTGGGATCGTGATGGGTATGGGCCACGCTGACTTTGCTAGTGACGTGCTTCCAATGCCGGCCCACTACGTTACATGTTAGCTGGTGTTACTTGAATGAAGTCCTGGAAACTACAAGGGAGTGCATCATAACGGCACCCTTATATAAGAAGCTGGAAATACGGGTAAATCCACTTACTATTATTACCCCAATACTTCCACTGCCCCATGACGCGTAACGACATAAAGTACTGGCGGAGCATCATAGAGATGAGGATCCCATTTTCTTCAGACACGATCTCTTCAGCTTTTCCACCTTCTGATTCAATTAGAAGGCTATCGTATCCATCCTTTCCACGAGCCATATAGCCCCGTGTCACTAGGACGTATTTCCTAGTCATATCGATCGGTTGACCACCAATTGTCGCGTCTAAAATGCGCGATCCGGTTGGTTGCTCGCCGTCAAATTTGAAGGTGATATTAGATACTTGCGGAAAGCGACCCTCGAGCGCCGGGTACAAAGACAGGCCGTTCTCCAAGGCGTCCCAGATAGCTTGGCCAGTAACTTTGATAACCACGACAGGATCCTCAAATGGGAAGCAGTTCATCTATTATAGTAGTTAGTTGCCAGTCGGGGGAGTTTAATAAGAGTTAGGCCAATGCTTACAATATCTTTCAATAAGATCGGACCCGGTGGATAGACCTGATCACCACGGACAGTCCCCGATGCCATGATACTACAATCTCCCGAGTAGTAATGACGCATAATATCGCATACCCAATTCGCTATATTGCTCTCTCTCAACCTAACCGTTCGAAACCTTGCATCAAGTGGGGCGGCTGTATATCCGACAGGTTTCTGAAGTGTCGCTTTGAGACTAGCAGTCAACTTCTCAACTAATTCGACAGTAGGCACATGCTCGGGAATGGCGGAAGTGATATCTCTTCGTATGATATCAATATTCCATCTTCCTGACCCATCGGACCGTCTCCTCGCTTCGAGGTAACTTAACTGCTTAAAGTCGGTCCCTGAGCGCAAAACATGGGTTCCTTTGATGAAGCTATGGTTATAGTAATGATCATGACCTCCAAGAATTATATCAATTAAACCATCAGTCTGTTCGGCAAGCTTATTATCATTCGGTTCCCGCATATGTGTTATGGCGATGACAATTTCAGCCCCCTCAGCCCGTAATTGAGGAACTAACTCCTTCGCGGTCTGGGTCGCAGACTTGTAGATGAGATCAGGAGGTAGACTGTTAATAGTAGCTAACCATTCACGCTCGCCGAGTCCTATTAATCCGATCTTTATGCCATTAGATGATGTGATGATGTGCGTCTTTTTGCAATTTCCGATGGGCACCGAGTCTCCTAAGGCAGGGTCTAATATGTTTGCGACAAGCCACGGAAAATTGCATTTAGAGGATAGATGTCTGAATTGACGAACACCAAAATCGAGATCGTGATTCTATTCGGAAGCGATCAGCTATAATAATCGATCGCATGGATATGAACACCATACATACTCCTATCGCTGCGGCGTCCGTCCCTATGTCGTTTAGTAAGGGAACCATGTGATCACCTACCCAATTTGTCACATTAGCCCATGGCTTCAAGAGCAGTACTTAAATTCACGATAATTTCGTTGAACTCAACTGCCGTGTCCCCATGTTCATCGAAGGCGAATATAATTCATTTTAGGATATAAGACGAGTGTATACACTCATCCGGGGTGCGTGTCCTCTGTCGCAATGCAGTGCATACCTTTCGTCACAGAACTCTCCAAACTAGGATTGAACGCATCTCCGGAGAATAGTGTCACCAAATCGGGCTGCTCTTTAAATTTTTCATCTTCCTCGTAATGTTTTATGAGTGACATGAATCGAGAGACTCCTCCCACGGGTTCGCTACTGGATTGGTCGACATGATAGACGTCATTGTAATGTAAGAGTCTTAAATCCGGGGGTCCTTGATGGGTTCCCGAGCTGTAAGTAACGGATTCATCGGGAGGCACTTCTGTTTTCTTGTCAGGCATCTTGAAAAACAATAGTAGATGTCAATATGAGAATATTTTGGAATAAGAAAGAAAGAAGAGAGCAAATATCTCAAATGACAAAGATGTGAAGGCGGTAAGCTGATAAGCTTCAGACCGTTTGATGATGTTTTAGTGGAACACGATTCGTTGGCGCCCTCAGTAACAGCGGACAAGACAGCACGCAAGGTGAGCCCTGAAAGACTGGACCGGGATGTTGCCAGCTAGGATCCGATAGGGGTCACCAATCAGCCCCATCTTCCAAGGTTCCTACATGCACACGCGAGCTAGCGAAACAAATCCCACCAAATAGGGTCTTATCCGTTGGTAATCCGCTAAACCCTCAGGGGACAGGGGGGCTATTTTCAAGTAAATTCAGTATTTCTATCGCTGGAACTCACTCGATTTGTACAACCACACCCCAGAATTGACTTGACCGTCCGCCGCCTTTTCTTTTTCTAAGCAAAAAAATTAGTCGTCAGCCAATTCCCTTCACGATCAAACCCATCCCGAATATTAGAAATCTTATTAACCATGATAATCTTTTTTTCTTTTTCTTTTTTAGGTGACATGTCACATACGAATTAATCTTACATACCAAGGGGTAGGATCGTATCGTCGTCCACACGCACACATATGTACTGAGCGCCACCTCAACTGCAAAAGATGTACCCCGATCCGAATTTTGTGAGAACGTGATCCGGTCAGCTTTTTCATCATAAAATCGTTGAAGCGTTAGATTTCCCTCTCTCCACTTCCTTCCAATTTGCATGTTGAATACATATTTTCGACTCCTCGCTACAACCCAAATTCACAACCAGAACTAACCCTTTTCCATGCGAGATATGTAATAATTCTATGCGTAATTGTCACCACTTCTTACGGCTCTCCTGGCCAGATTGAATTGGCGAGTTCCCTCACTAGCTTTAGCTTCGCGATCATGTCTTCTCGTGTCACAGCGTTACCAAGATGGTGACTAGCGAAGCCACACTGCGGGCTAACACCGATTCGCTTGAGAGCTTCTTCGCGCGTCTGGCCAGCACCTCTCGCGATGATGTCGGCCGCTTGGAAAACTCTGTTGCGCGTCTCATTAATATCCTCAAGCTCGGGGAACTTGCTGGTGATGACACCCAAAACGACGTTCTTGTGCGGTGGTAGCTCCTTCAAAGGCTCGAAGTTGCCCGCTCGTTCCGTATCGTATTCTAGGAAATATGTGTCGACGCCAATGTCGTTGAAGAGTTTCGTGGCAATTCGATCGTATCCACCTTCCGAGAAATGCTTACTATAGGCGAAGTTTCCACGGCAGAGGTGGATTCCGACGTGCATATCGGCCGGACGCGACGAAATACAGTCATTGTATAACTTCAAGTACGAGTCGAGAATAACATCAGGATCTTCGCCGTCCGCTTTAAATCCAGCTATCATTTTCTCGTCACAGAAGTCTACAATCATAATCTAAGTCAGAACATGTCGGAGCCAATGGTGTAAACACTGCAAGCTCCACTCACACGCTAGATTTGGGTCGTCAATGGTGACGTTTCGGCAGCCGTTGTCGTACAGCAGCTGTAGCTCCTACAGTGTCACGTTAGCACCGGCGAATGATAAACGTCAACATAGCTACAATATATACCACACCACACCATGGAATGCGATCGAGAAGGCAAATAATTTAAGAATCTGACTTACTGTTTGATAGGCCTTGGCGATGTCGGCGAAGTATTCAGCATCGTTAGCATACACTTCCTTCGGGTAGGCTCTGCCTTTCTTATATCGCAGATGGTACCTTTTCTCTCGATACATCAGCAACTTATTAACCTTGGCCTTGACTTGAACCAGGCATAACGACGAGCAATGTCAATAAGGCATGACAGGAAGACATACCATTCCGGAGCGGCTAATGTTATCTTCAAATCCTTCACTCTATCGGCAGGAACTAATTTCTTGAGGTAATTCCAATCGGATAAATACGCACTTCCGACGTGCTTGATCTTACTGACGCAGACAATGGTCTCACCAGGCTTGTGACCCGTCTCGGCTAGAACGGAATATCAGTTCACTACCTAAGCTCAACACCTAAGATCGAACCAGCTCTCATTGCTAGGATAACAGGACTTACTGAACGCAGCAGTATCCGGGACATACATCCGGAACATCTCCCACTCTGGATTCTGAATCTCTTCAAATCCCTCGAGGTTAGGGAAGAAGGTTCCCCAGAATTGATGGCGACGGTATTCACCATCATTGATAGCGTGGAACCCGAGGTCTAGTTGGAGCTTGACAATCTCGTTGATGGCATTGTCCTCCAGGGAGTGGAGTTCAGTGTCCTTGGCAATGTCGAGGGCCTTCTTGTCATCAAGTTGAACACGCTTCTCGACTAATTCCTTTGGACGAAGTAAGGATCCCAAGTGCTCAGCACGGAAGGGAGGCCGTTGCTTGTTAGCCGGCATATTGAATATGATTCAAGGTTGAGATGACTACTTTAGGGACTCGATTTGGTTCACTCTTGTGATGAAAGATAGACAAGGACAGTAAACGGGTACGCGACACTTGTTTTACTCGACGGTCAAGAAGGGTATAAGAACTACAAGAACAATTGGAGAATAGAAGAACTAAGAAAACAAGTAGACGTCATCCCTTTTATCTACTCGTCTACCCCATTACAGGGTATATAAGTAGGTGGATGTGGGGATATGCTACCCCTCCGTGTCTATTGGATATTGGGTAAGAGGAGGGAAGGATATAGAGAGGAGGAAGATGTAAGGGTAGGGGGGGATAAGTATCGTGACTACCTATATCCGGGTAGCTCCTACCTTGGTACAGAAGAGAAAAAGGAGGGGAGAACATCAATCATCTGAGGGGCACAAGAGAATGTTCCCTTCGTATCAAGAGTACATGGTGTTTGCGTTTGATATTTCGATGTATACAGTTAATTGTAGTGAGAAAGAATATGGAAGCAATGTACATGAAGCTAGGTAGGTACTCAGTCACCATAGCGGGTTAATTTACTAGATATGGATTAGTGGGAACTTAAGATGCTCGGCTTATAAGAAAGCATTAAGAGTATGGGAAGTGACAGACGGCGTATTTAAAACGCGACTAAGACGGTCCCATCGTCGCCTCCTGATTCGATTTTCTTCATTGCCGTCCTTGGTTGCCCATAATTTCTCCATTTTCCCCACGGTACTTTCTATTCATTAAGCCTCATACCCCTGCTCACCCCCGCCTTTGTCAATGCTGACTTTACAACTTTCCAACCGCGGGACCGCACCCGAATGTCAACAATCCCAAGATTCCTTATTTCAGCTGTAACGTGTTGGTTCGTTTTACGTATATGTAGGTACCTAAGTATGTAAGGTATCATCATGTGTGATCACACGATACCAGAACCTTATTATTGAAGGTGCAGTGTCAATTGCATTGACCGCTTCTAACAATTTCAAGTTGACTAGAAAAGAGGATACGCCGGTTTTAAAAATTCGATGCACGATATCGCCAAGTCTCACGATAACAGTTACGCGATAGGAGTTATCTTGTGCAAGCCACCTCGGACTTTTTATGTTGGTACATATATATACTCCTCATATTATATGATGCCTAGGTAGGCAGGTCGTTAGTAAATGTATAGGTATTTTCGTGTGTTTTCGCTGTCTTCTCGGACATATTGAATTCAAGACACTTGCAGTACAGCCATGACGTTATGCAGGACATGATTAGCCTAGTTACAATTTAACCCACTAGCAATTAAAAGGAGGCATAACGTTTCCCCTAGGGCATATTCACTATACTCGTCGTATAGTATTACCTAGGTACCATTAATATTTAATACTTTCTTCGACTCCTCCCTCAATACGTAAGATTTCTTCAAGATTTGGAGTTTACCTAAAGGACGTGACATGGTGCTGTGAGGCGCTTCGTACCATGTTAATCTTTCCTTTGGATCGGGAATTCTTTTGGCAGATCAGAACCCGGATCCTCCAAAAATGATATTACCTACATCCTCAATACGGCGTTTAAGAATCGGGTAGTGTATCTTACGCATCTATAGGTATCCAATAGAAATATCTGTTTTGACGTTAGCATGATAGAAACTTGGGTAATTAAAAGTTCCGTATTACATGTATGTAGTTTGGTTCTCCAAATATTTTATCTTGCGACCCTTTTTCCCTTGCAATTTCTATGAGAGAATAAAAGAATAAAACATGAATATACGGCGTAAGCTAAACCTATAAGGGATTTCTAGCGGGGGATATTGTTATACATGTACCTAGGTGTTCAGCCCCACGCGCCCCTAAGTTCATGGATGTATCAGTCGGATCCACTTGACCGATTCGCCGACCGTATCATCTACATCCAAATTCAAACATCATCATAGGAGAGACCTATCAATATCAACTTCAGCTTACACACCAAAGTATCATATTTCCTGGATTATCTTGCAACGTCGGGATGAAATTGGATCAAAATTTAGGGCTACTTATCTCTTGAGATTATTCGCCGCGACTTTAAACACCACCTACGTAATCTATTCACGTACCTAGGTATCCAAAGCAACAATAAGCACAATGGATCGTATACCTCCAGAAGTATTGTTACACATCTTCGAATTCCTAGATGATCCAGCTCCATCACAAGTTCGGCTACATGACCAACCAAGTGATGACTTGTTAAATGTTGAGTCTCCATTCTCGCAGAAACTCAAGACAGCATCCTTCGTTTGCAGGGCTTGGCGATCTTTGGTACTTCCTAGCTTATTCCGTCATATACTATGGCGACCCAAGATGTCATCACTCAGGGCATTTACGCTAAATCCTATACCTCTTCTACGGTTCCTAGAGGAAAATAGGCTTGATCGTGGGGTCACTACTTTCACTATGGTTGTGGATTTCGTGGATAAGGATGCCGATGTTAGGCACATCACTCCCGAGATACGTACCGTCGACCTTGAATGGTTATGGGATCAACTTTTCTCAGTCATTGACCCCCTGAGATTTACTATCATCGCTCCTCCGACAACACTCGCTGCGTTTATGTCTAGGATGCTCTTTCTAGATGATGCTTGGTCGTTCAGTATCCCGTATCACATCCTCTCACTCGCCAGGACGAAAAGGGGGCCTACACGTGACAAGTCAAATGAGCATACGGAATCACATCTATTAGATTATCAAGCCTCAATTGCCGAGTACGATACTGCTAGAGCATCCCAACCATCATTGGCGAGTCCTTCGACGACTACCACCACTTCCTCTTCATTTCGTTATAGGAAAGCTCCGGCCTGTCCACTCTTCACTGCGCGATCTTGGACATCCATCCTTCTTAATGAGGGTTCATCTACCAAAGTCTATAGAACCTACGAATTCTTCCTACGGCGACCACCATCTATGCTCGGGGCACTCCTAGGCTGCGAAGAACATCCCAACGATGCCCCTCTCATACCACCTACCATTGTTGACTTTAACTATATCGCTATCTTTCCTTTATCATCCCACTTTGAGGTGCTCCTACAACATCCACCTAAGCTGGATCGCTTCTTCGTACAATTGACACCACGACCTGGGAACCCAATTCTAGAAAACGAAGAAGAAATGAAACACATCGACCCGGCGGACCTCTGGATGGAGCGCAACACATCCTATAGTTCGCTAATGCGCGAGCTGACCTTTGCGACCGACCCCGACGAGCAACAACAGCAACCAAACGCCGGAAATTGGGCAAACCTTCGCATCTTCGAGAGCGGTGATGCTGCCGACAAAGAAGCCTGGGAGATGGCCGTTGATTTCGTAAAGCACAGTGGGGTTAAAGGATGGAAAGTGGAGAGGGAGGGTGTGTTCGTCAAGCATGACGATGAAGGGAATGGTCCTAATATGGATCGGGAAATCGATGGTCATGTTGGGATTATGAATTTACTTGACGGTCCGATCTTGTTAGTATAGCATTTTCTTACTTTTGGATGACTTTCTCCAATGTCCAATTATCATACCCCTTATAATCCCATGTCTTGAGACAACCCTTAGGACTAAGGAACTGGATGCCTGCACTCTTAGCATATGGAGTATTCGTTCGTGGTATCCCGAAATGACCTGATATATACGAACATCTTGCTAACGAGACATAAGTCAGGGGTCGCTAAGGCGATTTGCCTTCAACGGCGTCGCTCATTTACCTTTCTCAAGCTTATGGCTATATACGCAGGACATTGATCCACCCGCCACTGATGACCAAGATCTATGAACGATTACGCTAGCAATGCATTGGCTTATACGTAGCCGAAAGGAACTCCGTGGTGCTGCTACCCAGGTAGTGCTGAACAAGTACCTCTACCGCACATACCACCTTCATTGGGGATAGAACCATTCAGGAATACTTATGTACCTTAGACCTAAGTCGGCATTTCGTACATATTAGGTAATCTACTCCGAGTTGCCATGTACAACATTACTGTAGACACGATTCTTAAAGTTGGTTGTAAATTCTTGGTATGCTAACTTCAATCACCTACGATATTTACGTATTTTAATAGGCCTGTATTAAGATGCCATTGAACTGGTAATACAATGTCATCCTCTATATCCCCCTTGATTCTCGAAATGGCAGGCATCTGTTGTAGGTCCAAGCCAATCCACCAGTTCCCATAGCATGTCTGCGTGGGAAATAGACAAGCGATGCTCGTCGGTACTTCTAAACCGATGCACTCCACCATTACCTAGCCTAACACCAGGTCCTAAATCAAATACGCCGAGTAACGCCTGTAGTAGTATGGTGACTAGATAATAATAGCATCCATACCGCCAATATCTAGGATAACCAACCAAGTAACACAAGATCCTCGTAGATCCAACACGGATGATTCAAATCCCCAATGTCTATCGTCGCTCTAACACGGCCACCCTTGTAATATGGCCGATCGATGAGTCCGTATATCCATAACCCCGACTCCTCTAAGATTCCATGTATGCATTTAGAGAAAAGGGGGAGGCCGTTAAACACAAAGGAGAACGAATGGGTACATCGTAGAAGGTAAAAGGAAATTTCAATTCGAAACTTTCTAATCCAACCGATCCCCATCCTTATCACTATCCTCGCTACTCCAGTCGACAGGACCTGCCACATCTACTGCAGCCTTTCGTTCCGCATCTTCCGTCATCTCTCGCCATGTACTCCAGCTCAACATCAGGAAGGCAACGACAATCATACATCCTCCACCAATAGCCGCTGCACTCATACTCTGACCCGTGATAAGCCAGTCGGCAATTGCCACGATGAAAATTGTTAGAAGTGCTGCCACCGAGCTTAGAACAGGGCTTGTCAGAGATATTAAGACCAAGAAACTACCCGCGAATGTTGCGTTCATAATAACTGAAACGAATAGGTAGAAGGCTGCTTCACCCGTTGGTAATTCGAATGTCTCCCATCCTAGTACGTGCAATATGGGTAGAGGGAACCATAATACCGATAAAGTAAAGGTACCAATGCAGCTGCCAAAGGCGTTGGCGAAGATCATACCTCGCGTTGCCGACGTTCCTTCAGGGGGACACGCCCATCTCTTGTACATGACTTCGTACAGACCATACAGCACACTTCCCGCACCGATAATCATATTACCCAGGAACCGTGCGCTAGCCTCGGTATTGGCTTCGTCGCCCGTTCCTTCTCCCCTCGAGTCTCCATACGCAACAATCAAAACACCGGCGATCGCTATTAGGACCGCAATGGATTTGTCGACGCGTAGCTTCTCCTTAAGCAAGGGCACACTAAAGGCGTAGGCAAAGAAAGCCGAACAATTGTATATGGCCGTTAAGTCGCTGGGGCTCGTCATATTAACAGCGACATACCAGCTCAAACCGGCTATCGTCAGGGCCGAAGTAATGAAAGCGGTAGTGCGGATAAGGTAAGGCCAGGGACTGCGCTGTATAACGTGGCGCGGGATATCGAGTTCCTGCTGGGCAACCATGTGCGCAGTGGAACGCAATAGATAGACGTGTCGGCGCCAGAAAGTTGGCCACGGTACGTTCCATTTCTGAATACGCAATATCAATAACTGAGCGGGCCATAACAGCGCCCATGAGCCGTGTGTTAAGTACAGCATACAGTAGGCTTTATCCCAGCCAAGTTCGTGCTGTACATAACGACCCAATTCAGTTTGCACACAGAATGATATGAGTGAAACGACGAGGAATATGGCAGCGTAGGTGTATTTCTTACGCGCAGCCATGCGCGCTTGGGTATCGGGAGATCGTGATCGCATCGTGGATTGTCGTGAGAAGGTAGGTCTTGTGCCGATGGAGGAAGGGGTAGAAACGGGAATAGGGAGGGGAGAAGTCGGGCGTGAATTGTTATACCGTGCTCTGCCACGGCCATCTTCGTCATCGGACTTTTTAAGTAATGGTGTGACGGAGCGGCCGTCAGTGGGGCGGAAGAAAGTAGGTCTCTTAGGATCCGGCATGGTGCTATCGTCGTCGTCTTCCGAGTTTTCGGAGTAATCTATATCAAATCGACGGGGACTACGTAGTCGACTAATATCGGAACGTTCGTCGTCCTCTTGTACGAAGGATAACCGTCTATCGAAATTGGGTGTTCTACCACCGACGGTATCGGTGCCGCTACCGATGTAGTCTTCAACACTAGATCCGTAGGAACTAGCCGACAGCGGCGACGGCTCGGCTTTAGAATATTGTGATGTCGGTTTTAAGCGAGCCGGTATGCTAGATAAGCGGGTATTATTTGAATTCGAGATCGAATTGGGTTTTGATTTGGAAGACATAGACGGAGAAAAGAAGAAAAGAAGAAAAGAAGAAAAGAAGAAAAGGAAAAGAAGAGAAAAATAGTAACGAGTGATTAGGTGAGAAGTATATTATACTAGGTAACTATACCCAATCCCAACGTTGGAATAGGTGAGTGGACAGACGATGGGAAGAATAATAATGTAAATGTATGTAAGTGTATGCAAATGTAGAATCGGATATCCTATCTAAGAACAGTTTCAAATCTTAGATACGAACCGGTGTAAGTGGTGTAGGTACGGTTACGTAGGTAATGCAGCGAAAAGATCCGAAAGTGACAATATAGTAGGGGGTTTAGGGTGTTAAGAGAGAGACTAAGGGTCAGGTGATTCTATTCGTTCAAAGTAACACACATGAAGACATTCCCGTATGCATAGCCAATGCGAGTTGGTAAGAAAAGTAAAGTAGAAAGTATAAGAAATTCGTCAAATGACACCCAAGCAGGTGGTATTTCATACTGGTTGGTTCACTAAGGGGCACGCTAACGAAAAATACCCCTGTTCAAATGTTTTGTGCTTATCGATTAATGCATTATTTACCTAAGTACCTAGGTATCCCCTTTCTGCTCTTTAAAGCTTGCCAAGGAAGGTTATGAAGATCATCAGGGCGGGTCCAATATGGGGGCAAGAGCGTACCGTATTATTGTGTCCTTATGTGTGGGGGTTTCATTGGTTGGTAAGTCCACTTTTAGGTTGCCGTAATGCGGGGCTACAGCTTACCAGTCATAACGGGGACAAGGTTAGTTGACCAATAAACTTGGAATTAATGTAGTACAGTCTGCCGTATTACCGGTAATAATTAATAACTGATGTTCTAAAATGGATCTCAGTTTTAGCATTCTTCGTGTCGCATTTGCTTCGCTATATTTTTTCACTTTTATTATTCTAGTCAGGTGTCAGCAAACCGGTCAGCCTCAAATGCTGCGTGATCATATTCTACAACTCATGTGGTGCCACTACATTATCATCACTCTTGAACACTCTTAAAAATGCATTGATCTACCTGCGTCTCGCTAAAGCTTGCAGTGACAACCATCCATGGATATAAAACATGCCTACTTTGCATTCGCCCCAAAAAGTGCCTCCCGCGTATCATACGTGTACACGAGGTCCTTATGCCAATAATTAGGCGCATCCGCCTTCGCGATTAGCCATGCCTCGTCAAGTGCCTGTACAACATCCTCCGGAAGCGGTCCCTTCTCTAAATTATCGAGGTTGCTCACGAGTTGGTCGTGCGAGCTGATACCAATCAAGATGCCATCGTTTCCGTCTTTAATCTTGAGTTGACTATGATGTACCACCCATCGAAGCGCAGTCTCGATCAATGTCAAGCCCGGATGTTTCTCAATCGCTTTCTCGATAGTCTGTAACGCCTGAAACGTACTCTCTTTGAAATATCGGTTGCGGTAGTTGGTACCCGTGCTACTCTTGGTGCTGAAACGACTGAAGTCGCCTGGATCGATATCCACGCTCTTGATCTTGCCGCTGAACAAACCACCTGCAATAGGATTGTATACTACGATGTCCAGCCCGTATCGCCGACAAGCCGGAATCAACTCCGCATCGATACCCCGAGTAATAGCATTATACATGCCTTGATATACTGTTGGTCGTACCCAACCGTTATGCTTGCAAGTTAATACTACCTCAGCTACCTCGGCCGCCGTAAAATTCGAGATACCGAATCGCACGAATTTGCCCGCCTTGTGTAACTTGTCTACTGCCTCGAGCGTTTCAGCAAAGGGTGTCGCGCGGTCAGCTGCATGAAGGTACATGAGCTACAAATAGCATACATCAGTATAAAGACGAGAACCTAGAAAGAGTAGGTGAGAAAATCGGAATTGGGTAGACTCACATCCACACTATCCGTCCCGAGCTCTTTGAGACTTGTTTCCAAACTCTCGACAACCTTGGCAGCCTGATATCCACCGGCTTCGGCAGGATATTTGAACTTAGTGGCCAACGTCAGCCCGCGCTCTTTCCACTTCGTCTCGCGAGTGAAGGCTTCCTGTTGACCCCCGATATAGACACGTGCCGTGTCAATCTCATTATAGCCTCGAGCTTGAAAGGTATCTAGAACCTTGTTGAACTCGTTGATATCGGTAATACGAGCGCCCGCCGATACATCTGGTCCAAAGGTCATGAGACCTAGGATGATGCGATTTCGCGGTGCAGAAGCGATTAGAGGCATGTTGAGGATTGTCTATTCTTATGCAGACAAGTTACAAGGTTTGGGTTGAACAATTCTATGAAGACAACTCGGTCTACGCCTAGGAATTTATATTGTATTCGATTTCGAGTCTCGATCGCCGATTGGGAGGAGTTAAGAGAAGAGCGGGGAAGGTAACAGCATCCACGTACGGGATAGTAAGTTGACGTGCTTTTTACAGGCACCGCCGGTTCCTCGTAGATACCCACGGTAGTATCCATCCAGGTACCGTCCTATCCCTATTTATTTTCATTGAACCCCCACTACAATCCACGGCAAGCGGGGTTACATACGATTAGCTAAGGTATGAGGTGACTCACGCAAGTTACAGGCGTATGCTGGAGAGATCAATTACGTACCTAGGTAGGTGGATGTACCTATGAAGTGCCCTACAGTATGAAGTAGGTACATGTAGGTAATGCACTTAGAAACGGAGATCGTGGGTAATTCGCCTATCGCCTAACGCCTAGTATCATTAGCTTGTCCTCTGTTCGGGGACCTATTCGCCCGGATTGCCCTCCTAGCAGGTACTATTAAAATACAAACATGAATTGTGCAAGCAGAATATTAATAATCGCAAGTCAACCTGCTGGCGACTTCAATACATTACCCCATTAGGGGGAATCTACCTCGATGATTGGTTCAGGCGCGATATCAATCGACAAATATTTGGTATCCAATCAAGCTTTGGAGAGTGGGTGGGTATATGTATGTAATGATAGATATTAGGTACAAGTATGACAAGATTTGTGAGATCTGATATGTATGACAAGCCCAAGATTACTGGCTGGAGACTATTTTGCAGCTCCCTTATTCAATAGGAAATGCACGAATTCATTCTTCCCCCCATCCATTGCCCACCTTAAAGGGGTACGACGTTCGTCATCCACCGCATTGATAGGAGACCCTCCTTCTAGGAGAACATCAAAGATGGCCACATTGTTTCCCATAGCAACAACATGGATTGGTAAGGCACCGTAATACCCTGGCGAGGGCAAAGCTACATCAGCACCATGTGACAAAAGAAGCTTGACAAGTTCCAAGTGAGATTTAGACGTTGCTCGACAGAGAGGTGTTTCGCCTTTAGAGATGAGGTTAGCGTCCGCTCCGGCGTCTAAGAGAACCTTCGTGATTTCCAGAGATCCTTGAGATATGGCATAATGAAGAGCAGTCTGGCTGTTCTTGTCCTTCTTATCAACTACGGCGCCACGGTCGCATAGGAGCTTTGTCACCTCCGTGTTTCCTTGGGTGACCGCTCCAAATAAAGGAGTCCATCCATTGTTATCGGTTACGTCGAAATCGGCACCATAATCCAACAGTTCTCGAACCCGATCAAAACACTCAAATGAGACAGCCTCGTGTAGAGGTGTACGTCCTCTTTTGTTCCTAAAACTCTGATCCGCTCCGTGGGCTAGCAGGATTCGAACGGTGTTGATATTTCCCATTTCATCGGAGGGGGCTTTAGTCGCTGCATGATGGAGAGCGGTGTTCCTTTGCCAATCTTTAGCGTTCACAAGGGCGCCGAACTCCAGCATCAAGGTTATCAGAGAATCCGGCATCTCGTTCATGACAGCCCGGATTAGCGGAGTCCGCCCATTTTCATCCAACGTCTGAAGATTTGCGCCTGCGACGACTAGTGCTGTAACGATCGACGCCGATATTCCCGCAGCTGTCTTGTTATCAGAAGCAAGCGACGCCTCTACTTCACCCAAAGCTTGATGGATCGGTACACTACCGGAGTGTTCGAGCGGTGTGTTCGGGCTAACCTTAGCTGAGAGGCTCTTATGGACTGCGCTATGATCGCGTTTGGAGATAGCTTCGTGTAACTTACGAACAAATTTATGTCCTCTCTCACGAGTATGTTTCCTCTTGGGTCGGTATTTGACGAGTAGATGTCGCACGTCTGGTTGGGCTGAAACTTTACGCAGCTCGATCGCTACTAAAGGTTGTAACCCTGATGGTCCGGTTATCCTCTCAAACGGACGGCATATCGCGGAATTTGAATCGACCAGTTGAATGGTTGCCCCAAACAAACTTCCCCTTAGGTACGTTTCGTGTTAGCAAAATAGTGCGTCCCAATAGAATGCGACAGTGAACTAATAGATATTACCTTTGAAGACAATCGACCATAAGACACAAGGAAGATCGATTCCTCCGCAGACCGAATCTAGCATCTATGAGAAAGTCTTGTAAAACCGGAACGAGTTTCGAAGAAGCAAGAGGGTCTCCCCATTTGTGATATCGACGTAGGCGAGTAATTTCGTGGTCAACGTCAAGGAGAATTTCGGATATTGAATGTAGAATGACTTCAAAACAAGGCTCAAGTTCTTCAACTTGGTCATGTGTTGAGTCAGATCCCAAAGGCCCTATAGGTGTTGAGAGTGCTCCTAAATTCGTCAGAACTTCCTTTGCCGTTAGGCATTCTGCGGCCATAGGTAGTAAACTAGCTTGGCTCAGTTCGGCGGATTTCCCCAAGTCGATGAGAAGGTTGGCGATGGTTCCGCAAGCATGTTCAACGCTCCCTACAAGCTTTTGAAGTGAGACAGATTTAGCCATTGTGATCTCTTGTATCGTTCAATTAGGAATCCCTTCCATAGATTTTTACAGTCAACGAACGCCAAGAGATAAAACAGCCTACTCAACATGAGTATAGTGGTAAAAGTGAGATCCAAATCCAGCACAATAGAATAAAAGAAAACAGAAACTCAAACCGAGAAAGTCTTGTTAACCTTCTAACCAAGTCAAAGCAAACATTTATCAGATACTTGAAAAGTCGAGGGAGGTCAACACTAATTGATCACCCTGCTCTCTAGTTGTTAAGCAATAGACCAGGTATAACTAGGGAAGGGATCGCAAGTAATATGTGATGACAATATGTCGGTAACTAATAAGCAAATGAATGCCCTTGTTGAAGATGGGAAAAAGCAAAATCAGGGGATGCTTGAAGAATTATGTCGAATGGGGTTAATAGCAACGCCACCAGATAGAAGGGACGATCAATATTGGTCGAGATTGTTAATGATATTTTGCTTTTTTTCGTTTTTATTTCTTGTGAATTAAGGTTATGGAGGTAATTACATATGTAATCAATCATGTTGAATTACCAACATCTAATTGCACATTGTTGTTTAGTTTAAAGAGAGAGACAAGAATCTACCTAGATCTAAGTTACTTACAGTTCGACAGACATAAATGGATATGTTGCTTATGTAATCAGAATATCGGAGTGTCGGAATCCAACCACCGTCGATAGAGTGTGATTATGTAACAGCAGGCGTGACGCTATGACCACATATAATCTAATTTACGCGTGCATGGTACGCCGCACCGCGTCTTCTTTCCCCGTTGCCCGTCGCCCGTCGCCCTACAATTCAATTTCGCGTCTCTCCGCGTTTTCTCAAATCAATTAATCGATTTAATCTGATCTTCCACACAAAAATCCCGTCACCATCACCACCTGCACCACTTGCACCGCCATCATAGCCCACCCCCGGTCACCCAATCATTCACCTCGGTTGATCAATCGACTTATTTTTTCATCATTGCGCAAGGAACTATCTATTCAGCCTTTCACACTGGTAGTTCATACGACTCATACCAATGCTATCTTAATTATTCCAAACCCATTTCTACATGTCATTATAAAGAATATATTCCCATACGGTGCCATTCCCACCGTAGTAGATATTGTACCAGACCCGTTACCCTGTTAATTCGGCTCCAATTGGGCCAGAGTCGCCATCATGGTCAAGGACGCCGCCGCCAGTGGCGGCATATATAGTGCGACGTATAGTGGTGTAAGTAGTCTTTCCAAGAGTCGCATCGTCGACTATGATAGAAAATACCATCAGTTGTCTCTCCTTAGATACCATAATAGTTATCGTCGAATGCCATGATGTATATCGCATGTCAACATCGCAGACTATCTTCAACCACCCAACTAACATACCCAATCAACAGGTCCCTGTATATGAATACCAATTCGGCGGTGATATGAAGGAACATGTGATGCGCCGGCGACAAGACGACTGGGTTAATGCGACACACATCCTCAAGGCTGCAGGATTTGATAAACCAGCACGTACACGAATACTTGAGCGAGAAGTACAAAAAGATCGGCACGAGAAGATCCAGGGCGGTTACGGCAAATATCAAGGCACTTGGATTCCTCTGGAAGCCGGCGAACAACTTGCGCATCGCAATAACATCTACGACCGCCTTCGTCCTATCTTCGAATACGTCCCTGGAAATCAAAGTCCCCCTCCAGCCCCCCGCCATGCGAGCAAGCCAAAAGCTCCCAGGAAACCCGCCGTGCCAAAATGGGGTATGATATCTCTCAAATATTATATCCATTTCTATTTCCTTGATGCGCGAATGCTAATTTGTCCATTATAGGCGCTCCACCACCCCAAGACTTTGAAAGTGCCAGCCAGCAGCTAAACGAAGACGATACCCCAGATAATGTCACCGTCGCTTCGGTTTCGCATATAGCAGAAGATGATCATCACGACTTGTCATATTACTCGACTGGGCATCGTAAGAGAAAACGAGAAGAGAATATACAAGATCTATCCGATCAGCAACACTCTATCTACGGCGATGAGCTGCTAGACTACTTCCTCACATCACGCCCAGATGCAGCCACGCTCCGCCCTGAGCCCCCGCCTAACTACCGACCGGACTGGAGGATAGATCCGCAGAAGCATACCGCCCTTCATTGGGCCTGTTCCATGGGCGATGTAGATGTCATCAAGCAATTGAAACGGTTTGGCGCCACTTTGGCGATACGAAATTGCAGAGGCGAAACTCCCCTAATGCGATCTGTTAACTTCACCAATTCTTACGAGAGGCAGACATTTCCTGCTGTCATGAAGGAACTATGGGACACAGTCGATGCGCGCGACGAAGAGGGGTGTACTGTCATACACCACGCCGCTATCATGAAGAGCGGCCGAATCATGAGCATCACGTGTTGTCAATATTATCTCGACAATATTCTGAACAAACTCCAAGAGACACACGATCCGAACTTTGTACAAAACCTCATCGATGCCCAAGATCACTCTGGTAATACCGCGCTACACCTAGCAGCAAAAGCGAACGCTCGAAAGTGCATACGAGCCCTCCTCGGCCGAGGTGCTTCTACAGATATTCCCAACGTTGATGGAGTTCGTGCGGAAGACATGATCAAAGAACTAAACGCCACTAGGAATTCAAAAGAACGTGGTCCGCAACGATCATCGTCCCCCTTTGCGCCGGATTCGCAGCGTCATGCTTCCTTCCGAGATGCTCTCGCGGATTCGGTTAACAAGTTTGCCGTCACATACAACTCGGAGGCAGCAAATACAGTTCAGAATAAGATAACTCCACTCGTCCTGGAGAAGTTTGAGGATCTTGCCCAAAGTTACGACGAAGAGTGGAAAGAGAAGAATGAGGCCGAATTAGAAGCCCGTCGTATACTCGGAAATACTCAGAACGAACTCGCCGTTGTGCGTGCGCAAATCGCCGAACTGGATGGACAGTTGGAATCTCCCGAAGCAGCATCCAAGGCAGTCGGCGACGCCACGATATTACAACAGCAAGTGCTCTCTATTTTGGCAAGTCAAAGTCAAAACTATATGCAAGCCTCTGTGGAGCAGACTTTATCTATGATGAATGGCGATGCTGGAGACGATTCGTATGGAGATCGAGTCAAGCTAGCTCAAGAGCTGAAGGAACTCATCGCAGAACAGCGACGCGCCGAGAAAGAGTACGTGGATGCCCTTGGTGTTTCGGGCACTGGGGACAAGATCGACAAGTACCGACGACTCCTGAAGGAATGTTTAGACCAGGAGGCAGCCGAAAACTTGGATTCTAACCTGGATGATCTGATTGAGATGATGGAGGAGGAAAGGAGTGAAGGAGACCCAACCATACATAACCAAGGGGAACCTATGATGATCTGTTAAGGGTGTTGCATAATATGTTTGTTGAAAGTCATGCGTTGTTGTTATCTTGTGGCATAAGGATACCAAGCCTAAATTCAGGTTCTGAGATGATTAGCAGTTGAGTGGCTGGCTGGCGGCGTTTAGAGGAAAGGAAAGAGATATGTGTCTGATGCCTCACGAGCTCTACCGAAGTTTCACTACTTCAGAATCGACTTAATTCAAATCCGCCTAATTGCCTACACCATCGTGTGTTTCTATGATCAGCGAGTTCTATCTTCATCGATTTATTGTATTTTTTTTCCTTTGCCCTGATTTGCAAGCCACACCGCATCAGTGTAGAGCTGAAACTGGCTGTAACGGGTAACCCGATGCAGACTATAATCTGCTAAAGAAGATCTAATGGAACGTTCAGCTCACCTCCATATTTTTCACCTTCATTCTAATATTTTACTTCTCAGCGGAGAAAACAAAATCGGTTTCTCTCTCCGTTTCTTCCCATACCCTGTGGAAGGAGTTTCCGAACGAATGCAAGTGCCGGACAGCGACCACATCCGACGAGCAAAGCTGAAGCTACTCAATCCGACTAACGGCATGAACGACGTCGTAGTATACCCGACTCCATTGGGATCCGCCGTAGTCCAGCTTCTTGGCTATATCGTCACAGCCTCTTTTCCTTCCTATCAGTCTACACTAGGCCTGCCACCGCTTCATGCAAGTCACATATTCTTCCATCCAAGTCATTCCAACAGAAAAAATGAGCATCGCTCATGTCAAGTGAAGGTACTATACCCGATGCAATGCCACCCAGCTCGCAGATTTCACCACCCTTAGATGCCAGCTGGCGTACTTACAAGTCTTAATAGTTCTGATCGCCATATATACTTGGCCGAAGTTCCACAAGAACGTGTTCAGGTTCCTTCTTCTCGGGATAGCCGCATGACCATGCGGGTACAATCGTTCACATCGCATTGGTTAAGCTGGCAATAGTTCACGAGCACCGCAGCATGAGACTCCGAGTCCTGGCCTGTAAGGGCGCCCCGCAGAGACTGCAGGTACAGCGCATATAACAGACTGACGTGCATGACGACGACCACCGACAGCCACCGGAATAGTGTTCCATGAAGTATTACCAGCTGGACTTAAGCACTCTTACCGGAAACGAGAAGGATATGGGGTGATTTTATGGTCACAAGTGAACATAAGTCACCACCAGCGCCCCTATCGTATCATGCACAAAAAAATCTAGATGATCATCATCCGTATTAGACTTCTCTTGCTATCATCCCCCTAAAATACCAACAGAAGTTACATAAAAGTTTGTGGTGAAAATGACAGCGTTGATATTGGTACCGGCCCAATAGGGATACCGACACTTTGGGGGGTTGCGCAATGCGTGGGGTTTCCGCTGGAGACCTACCTAGCTACCTAGATGTTAGTTTCAGATGGTGAATTACGAAGGGGAAATACCAAGATCTCACGTACGATGTCTGGGTTGGGAAGTATTTTCAACATAATTTTTTTGATAGACTCCTACCTTGACTCCTATCTCGTGGAGGGCTTATCCCGTATGGCGATGGAGCTCGTTTACCCCTGAAAAATTGCTCTGAGAGGTACAAAATCCTTAGCATTTCATTTGGTGCTATATTCTGGGGGATTCAGTGCCTCACAAGTACTATATCACATTAAAAAAGGTACCTACTATCGCACGTTCATGCAAGAGAAACAGGTATAGATAGCGATCAGGGGCCCGTTAGATGAGTTTCACATGTGTCAATGGTGCTCGATTTAGATTAAAAGTAACTGTGAAATTATGAACCAGTAAGGAAGGTCAAGAGAAGACTCTATCCCCTATTTGGGTGATAATATCCGCGACCATAAATGGGGGTATCTCTCTACTACTAGGTCTTTCAGGGAGAGTGTGATTCAGCAAGTACCATAGCAAACAACATCATACCTAACATTGGACTTGATTCGAGCCCTCGCATTTACGAAATGACGGCCATAGTAAGAATATCTTCATTCAGTTATAATCCATAAGTGTTGGCCCGGTCGTATTGTCGGGAAAATGTAGGTGCATTTCATATGCCGACTCTTCTTTCCACGACCAACACCTAACATCCCTCTTCTGGCACGCAACAAACACTTATGTCACTCTTCCATCGTCGTAAATGTGAGGTAAAATGAAGCATTTGTCATAGCAGATTTTAGTGTCTTCTCCCCATGCGTCAGCTCAGACCAAAAGAAACTGGGGCCCTGGCGCCGCAAGGGACTCGGAGTCTAGTCTCATTCCAACACAATTTCGTTCTTCCATTATCTTAACCCCGCAGCCAAACCTCGACAGCCATCGGGGACGAAAGTCGGCCGCTCCCGTTCATGAATATCATAACATCGCTGTTGGGTCGTCGAGACACGCATCGGTAGTCAGCGGATACGTGTTCTGCTACAGTAACCTCCTAAGCATAAAGCGTGTCTGATTTTAAGGGGAAATAAGAATAAGCCCGATCTCATCATAAGGTTGCGACTGGGTCAGACGGTGTTTGAACCCAGAGGCCGTCGAAAATAATAATAATAAATAAATAAATAAATAAGGTCTAGTTTTGGGCATTGAGCTGGCACTTTGGAGGTGTGGGTCAGACAGAGGCCGAACGGTCGATCAACAACAGCCTCAGGCCACAGATTATGAATACCAAAAGTTTAGTCATTCTTACAGAACAATTTAATTCTGCGTCTATTTCTAGATATCAAAATAAAAGCAAGCCGCCAAAAATGTTTTGAAAAAATTGCGCCGCAACTGGTCCACGTCATCTAGCCCCCAAACCCGGGTCGCGAATAAAGCAACCTGAGACGTTGATTTACGAGGGCTAAGAACTGTCGTGAACGCAATGCTAATATGTGGGAGTTTAAGGATGTCACTACGACGGGCCTACGCAGATTAGCGTTCCACTAGCTATACGAAGCCAGAATGATGATAGACAAGATTTCTCGCAAATTCATACTACCTCAGTCTGGAACCTGCGTAACCCGCTTAATGGGGTGTAAGGCGAAGGATCCGTTCTCCTCCTAAATATGTCAGCTGTTATACCCGACCCCAGAGTATACCTACTGATCAAATTCCTGTATTCCTGTATGTATGTAAGGCAACGTTCCAAGTGCTGATTCAGCTAAATGTTTAAGTCTTCGATCGATGTCTTTGGACAGGTGTCAAGGGAGCTCGGAAACTTACCTAGCCTTCTCAAGCTAACATCACCTACCCTAGAGCGGCAAAAATCACACTACTACTTATTCGGGATGATCGGCTTTAGGATGTTATCCCGACAAAGAGGCTGGCTATACCTTTGGTGATAGCTACGTTGTTTTCGTCGTATTAGTATCGAAGCAGAAACCGCATGACTCAGATGAGAGAAACCAATTCCCATCAAAATTCCATGCGGCTTCAAACTTACCTGACAGGAATTTCATATCCAGGGGTCTCTAGGCAACATGACCAAGGGACCCTTTTTGAGTTATGAGGCATTTGTCAGTAAACATAAGCCGAAGGAGTAAGCCAGCGTGACGAGAGGGTGAATGGAAGTGGGCTGTGGTCTCGAGGCATGAGACTTTACCCGTTGTCCGCTCTACATTCTCGGGACTCGGGATCGAATAAGCTACAGGTCTGGTCGGGACAAGTAATCACTAATACCACCTACCTACGCCGATACACGAGGTCCAGGACTAACTATAAACCAACGTGGGATGCTTTATACCCGTCTCGTCGCCGAGGTAGATAAGCTGACAAGATTGAAGTGGCAGGGGGAATAGTGCCGTGAGGCTCCGATGCCCTCTCGAGGCTTCAATGGCCGACAGGATTTCCCTGTTATCCGGAACACAAAATGCACCCAGACGTCAACATAGACGTCATGTACTAAAAGCCCGAGTGGACGGGTTGGGTCGTTGGTAGTATTTACAACCCAACCGTAAATGAACCAGTAGGGCGGGCAGCTCGATGAGTCGCCCGACGTGTGTAGGTCGGGCCCAAAAAGCAGGCCGCTATTTTGGGTCGCGTGTAAGTCCCGCATCGGGTCTGCCATGTGGAGAGCGGAGAGCCAGAAAGGCTAAGGACTTGGGAGATACCTACATACCGTAACATCAGCATAGGCGTAAGTGTAGGGCGGGCGGGACTCGTGGTGATCACGTGTTTGTGACTATCTGGGTAGTTTTCGGGCTGAGAATCGATCGAGTTACTTAAATGTTTTGGTGGGTGAATATGTAGGTAGGTATGTTGCATAGATAGTTGGAAATTTTGACGAATGAGCGAGCACATGATGCAGGCCATTATTTTCGTCATGATGAATAAGAACATTACAGCGGGTCGGAGGGGTTATTCGGGGGGCTCCCCTTTGGCGGTTCAGATTGGTAGAAGAAATTCTAGGCTATGTTCTACGTTGGTCATCGTTGGTCAGTTACAATACGACAGAACGGTATTCGGATTCAGGGTGCAACGCTGGCTTTGACTTGTGACCTACCTATTGACAAGGGTAGCAGGTCACAGCGTGACTAATCGGAACCTGAGTGGCTTGCATCCAATGGTTCAAGGGGATCGGGAAATGCAGTGCAGCGGGATCGACCACAGGATCTCCGGACCTAAATCTCGTAGGGCTGAGAGACACTGCTGCAACACACACGCAAGATCTCGCGAGGATGGGCAGCTATTGGCGACCGGGGTCTAATCAGTGGAGTATGTCTTAGGGCAATCGATAGATACTGAGCTATCGCACATTATAAGCGGGCGAATGTGATAACAATTGGACCCCCCAGCCGCCAATGTGACAGCCGAAGCGATGTAAGGGGGGAAGCTTAAGCGCCCACTCACATTTCATTTGCCGCAACCGCCTCTCAAAAGCAGAGAGCAAGGACTAGGACTAGGGGGGGGGGGGGCTGTTTGTATGTTGACGACGAGGATGATAGGTGCGGTCAGCATAGTAAGACAGTACGGGAGTATGCAGGAGATATCCTAGCGATTTCCTTTAAGAGCTTGATTGTCTATACCAAACGTCGTATTCGGACCACCAAATAGACGAGATGTTGCTGTAGAACGCCTCTAGTGTCTAAGAAGGTAGCTCGCATCGTTAGGTCATGGAAGCAAGAGTAGATCCCGGAAATTGGATTTCCAACTTTCCTCGTGTTTTCTTTTTATCATAGTAATGAAGCGGTCACGAATTTAGGATAGAAGCCGGAAATACAATATACTGTAACGTGGCGATAAGTGGCAGTGTTCATAGGCAAATTTCGCAAGAGGTAGGTAGATAGTACTGACTGGATGCGACGATTCGGCTGTGTTTCATTCGCATTCATTTCCAAAAGCCTTGTGCCAAGAACAATTTCTCGTCTAAGCTTGCGCGTCCCTACGGCGTACATATGGGTAGACTGCGACTTTCCTATCGTCGGAAGGGAAAGAAGGAAATCTAGAAAGATCCTAGGATGGATGCTAACCGGGTAGGAGAAAGGCGGTGTAGGTAGACTATAGATTTAGGTAAGAGAAAAATGAGTATGATCATCAAGACAGAAGAAAAAAAACCTGCTATTTCGCGCCGCTATATCGGACCCAAACAGGATGTCTAATACGAGGAAAGACAAGGATACTATTAGCAAGCCTCGCTGAACCTATGAAGTCTATGGCAAGGCTGATTACCTACCCTGACTACCAGATTTGAGCCGTTATTTATCGATCGGTGGAACAATGTCGCAGATGTTTATTATATGGCGTAAGTAATATGGCGTCGAAGCAAAGAGACGATCGAATAACAGCGGGAAATTTCCGCCACGTTTTAATAGCGTGGACAGCGCTGACCTATTAACCTATTGTGCAAATAATAGACGAACGAGGAATAATTAAAGAGGAACGGATCGAAAATTTAGAACGTACTAAAGACACTATGTATCGTCGTGAATAGACGAGAAGATGGATGGATAGAGTCGTTGTGGGGTTGGATTGGCCCAGTCCTGAGGCAATCTGCACTACAAATAAAAAAGGAGGTGAAGCGGGATTGGCGAATAGGAGTTTCGAACCAGGATCTGTTCAGCTGAACATGACCTGCTGGTCATTTTCTTCTTCCCGCTACAACCCGCAACCTCACAGCGTGTCAACAGAAGCCCATGCAGGCCTATCCCGTCTTTCGTGTCCCATAGCTTCCTGGTAAAGCACCCAATGTGTGGTAGCTATTCGTGCTATAGAAATCGCCCCCAAACGCCATTGGCCACCCAAGACGGTCTCTTTGCTTCTCCGTGCTCCGCATTTTAACTCGTACCTAGGTGCATGAAGTATGTTTACGATTCATCTTCATTGCTTACATCTACCTACTTCCCTAGTTCAGTCAGCCACTTACGGATGTAACCAAGATCCGTCTACGATGTCAACGGCACTTAAATCATACATACCTGTATACACGTACATGCATATGCCGCCCACTTTATTTGTTTATCCACTTTCTTTGCTGCTGTGCCGCTGTCCCGCATGATGAACCATCCGGTTGTACGTGAATTGTCCACCATACTACACAACCGGTCCCGTAGCTTTACCTACCCACCTACATCCTATACACACGCACATCCATCATGCATGTACAAACGGCTACCTAGGTAGGACGAGATGGCTATGGGTACGTAACCGATGGAGTGGTGGTGAGAGTTACTCGGGTCGAGACAACCACTATATGACAGGTGCGTCGTGAACGATCTCGCACTTTACTTACGTACATACATTACACGGTTATCCGATCATATGTCATTTCCTACCTAGGTACCTACTAGGGAAGTAGAGGCTATTGGCTTAATTAACCTCTCGTATGTATTACCAAGGACTCGGACTCGGAGTCAAGGGTAAAAAAAAGGCGACGTATCTTGGGCGTGTTTGTGTCCCCGCTCATTGAGTACCAGTCCCTTACGTACTACAATAGCGACGATCCAGAGGCCAGAGGACAGACTTGTGTTTTACTTTATGGTCACGGCCATCGAGGGGCAGCAAAAATCCATGTGTTTCGCAGATCATCTACTCAGCGTACCATGCCGCAGGTCGTTCGTTCATTCGATTTCTACTTTCCGATTCCTTGCACTGTCCCTTATAAGACAGATTCACCTTGTCAACAACAACAACTTCGCCAATACCCATCTTCCTTGCTCACCCAGCTATCCCCGGGGCCCTCGGTACGCCAAGGATCGACCTCGACTAGGCTGTTAGGGCCGCATAGGGCTCACCTCAGCTGAACCCCGTTCTCGACACAGGCGCTAGGTTAGGTTAGTAAAACGAAGCTAACTGATTCCAGCAGTCGTCTGCAATAAATCCCTGATGGCTTAACGGCCATCGGAAAACCACAGCAGAGCTTACTCTGTACTTTGGTTTCCGAGCATGCTAACCATCCCTTTAGCCCAATTCTCGAAGCGAGTCCCCTCCTTGCTTGTTTCAGAGGATTGGTCGCGCCGCCTGACGCCATAGCTTTAGATCACGTATAAGGCGCTTTAAAAAAACCCGCCTCTCGACGGCGATCATACCGTGCATACTAAAGTACATAACACATGGTCAGCTATCCACAGCCCTGCATCGCTAGGCTTGGGCGCATGTTTAGAGATCAAAAGATGGAGATAAGGGGACTAATATGCTCACATGCCGTGCATATTTAGGACATAGACCCTGAAATACGGCTTTCTAGATCGTCTCATTGGATGTCACTTCAGCTTGCTTCGACCAGACGAACTACTAATTTGTTATCTAGCTTATGCCACAGTACACAGGCTATCCACACTCTAGCCATACTAAACATACCTTACCACCTATGGCGAGGAACCATCGAATATTGCACCCGCAAAAGGCTGTCGCTTGTTTTAACTTGACTGCCACGACATATGCGTCATGGAGGACGACGGCCACGTTATAAGTTACTATTATTTCTAGGTACCCGTATAACAATAACTAAGACATCCTAGCTTTCTGATATTTACACTACACCTACAACTTGCGGGTTGGACCTAGCGCGTCCTAATAATATTCATAAAAAAACCATGTCAGGCAAAGTCGACTTCAAATCCCAACAGAGATCCACAACACTCCACACAGCGCACTTGGAGATACGAAGATACATTCAGAGAACTCTTGAGTAGAGTCTTATTGGATTCGCTGAGCGCCAACAGGGATTCTCTATTTGTTAATTTGTTCGACGCTACATAATGTCCATATTCATATCTTCCTACCTAAGTAAGTACCTAGGTAGGTATACCTACGCAGTTACTACTAATTTTCTTACATACGTCCCGCCTCATTATTATTATTTTTTACCTCATCCTGGATTAGCACTAGTCTCTTCTCTTTCACCTTGTCTCGTGCTACCTTGTCGACCGAAGTGCCCGTACAGATCCCGACTTACATAGCAGCGGCTAAGCTTACTTACGGCGTAGGTAATTTCATGCCACTAGGAATTACGTCGACCGTGCGTCCACGGCGTGGTAAATTTGCCCCAGTTTCGTATGCGCGATGAATTGCTTCGTTATCGTGCAGCATGACGGCAGAAAGGACGTTGGCTCTCGAATAACACTTTCTAGACGATTACTTGCTCAGTACCTAGTCTTCACACTCCCAAGATAGTTGGGGTTTTGTCGTCCAACTATTCCAATATATACTAGCTAGGTCTAGGACCACGTCGATTATATATACATCATGTTACTGATGGGACGTCGTGCCTAGATTGCGGCCCGCGCTTCGCGTGAGTACAAAGAGCACACACCTTACCCAATGATCTCTTTGATTCCTTTCGCACGCACCCGAAGAGGCAAGCCGCCAAGTATTTATCTCTCCTCAATTGAGGCTGACTGACGAGGACAGCGGGGCCTCGAAGAGGAAAGTAGCTTGCTTTCTATCATCCACTCTTCTCTCCACTTACATTCACACCCTCCCCAGACACTGGCTGGGAGGTTTTTCATGATTGTACCTCCTCCGTAGATAGTCTACTTCCTTGTTCTTTTTCTAAGTCGCCTCCGCGATGGGACCTTGACCAGGTAAGTAGATGTAAGTAGTACTAGGTCCAGGTTTCCTGTCCCCTGTATAAAACTTTCGCTCTCCTCCCATCTTTCCATGCTCCTTCAACCTTCACATAGCATCCAAGCACGTCTGTTACAGCCATCCTCGTCGACTTCTAGTTTTCGGCTTAGTCGTTTCACAACTCGGCTCTGTGCTGTGTAAGCTCGAGATTAGCTTCAGATCTCTCCTCCACCAAACACTCACCCCCCTGCTACATGCGGACACGAGTAGTTTTTTCTTTCCGGCCCTCTCCTTGGGACCCCAACTTGTAAGACGTCGGCAAGAGGGTTTTGTTTATCGACCAACGGACCGACCGCGGTTGATCTTGCTTTCGCCTATCAGGTTATCACGCCTACTCAAAACAAACACATATACACGCACACTCCCTCTCCTCTTTCCTGCCTGTTGCCCGGGCCATCTCATGCCCGCGTTTGTACATATTTTATGGTGTCTTGATCTTGTGGCCAATCCCGCTGAGTAAAGCGGGAACCTTTGTCCAGTCCTAAGGTTGTCCCGATCGACAGGCCGGCCCACCCCCGAGCCTCCATTTACTAATACAACCTACATCGGTGAAGGCCCGACCCCAGACGGCACAGGAAGCACACCTTGTTATCAGTTGCCCTAATCAGCAAACATGCCCGCTGTCAATCTCCCCCTGGAGCAGGCCCATAGTGGCATCACCTTATATCAAGTCCCCGGGATCCATCTGCGGCTCTTATGCAGAGTTGCCCTTACCTTCTTAGGACTTATCTGTCTCGGTGTGCTACTACTTCTATTTAAGAGAAGATACAAATCCACCCCTCCCCCCACCGCAAGCAAGCTGAATGCCACACCAACTAGTCTTCAGAGACTTCGGCTTTCCGAAAAGTCACCTGGAGCCATCTTTCAGAACGAGATCATGTCAGTCAACCAACCCTCGGGGATTTCACAGCTAAGGGCAGCTGAGAAGTTGGGGGATGGGGAAAAGAAACATATCCGAGATGAATCTAAAGAAAGAGATAAAGGAAAGGAGCCTCGGGAAGATGTGATGGGTTCCGTGAGCATAGACGCAGGCACGCCACTAATCTTCAAATCTGGCCTACCGCCACCGCTGCCGCTAACCCCCCCTTCTCTTTTAGCAGGAGCTTTCACATTTCAAGATCGCCGGCTGAGTGTAGCCGCCTCTAGTATGGGAGACCTAGATTCTAGCTTCTTCCACCAGCCAAATCCGGATTATACACTTTCGCCTTCGTCGGATTCTACTTCCACCGCGCTGCCCCACAGCGAAGACTCTACTTCCATCCCGCGAAGGAGATCATACACGAAAGTGTTGCCTCTTGGACCAGCCCATACAGACTCGGAGCATGATGGACCATCTTTTCCACCGAGTTCGTTCCCATCTTCGAGCCCAATCTTGCCCCTTGCGCCGCATGAATCACTTGAATCCAGGGAGATTGACGTAAAGGGCGAGATCATCTCAGTAATGGACGACTCGGGTGCCGGTTGGAAAAGACATACTCGTGTCTATGGTGGAGGAGTCTGTCTAGCCTGCCTGGCTTCTGGCAGCCAAGGGGGGTTTTACGGCGATAATGTACCCCCTGAGCACCGTCGGTAACTAACAGGGATATACAACCGAAACGCTGCACCGACTTCGATGTTTAGTCTAGCAAAAAAAAAAAAAAAAGGACATCAAGGACCTCGAACTAGTCTAACAGAGCAAGGCACGGAAAGTCCCGGAGGAGCCGGAGGAACTACGATGAATTTTTTAAACAGATGATGGCGGCGTTGGTAAATTTGACGCGTTTCCCATGTTCCGAACTTTAAGGATTTTCATCTTGGCGGTATCTCTAGGCAAGATTTCAGCTTGCGTATAGAGCGATTTGACATATCATTTTTGGTCTTTTTTTTCTTGTCTTTTTTCCCTCTTCTATCTAGGGCGGTTATATTTGGGAAAAGGAGATACCTGTTACGCAACGCTGGTTACATGGATTGATGGGAAAGATACTATTTCGCTCACGCTTTTTATGACCATTTTTTATTCAATTTTCTTACGTTGATGTAAATACTTGCTGCTGATCCTCTAGCGTATCACTTGAGGACGTCTACTATGTAGAGTCGTGTCAGCTTGCAAAAAAAAAAAAACACACCCCATGTTGATTAAAAAAACAGTCGTTTCTCTTTTCCTCTTTCGTCTATTTTTACCACGGCAATTTTTCTCGCTCCCAAAAACTATTCAAGAATTTTTTTTATTTTTTTTTTTTTTTTCACTCTTCTAAAATCCCTCGCTTACCGTGCGGAGTGGTTTCGGTCATGCCGAGGGGGTCCTTAGTGCCACGGCGTGCCATTAGCTTGTGGGAAAGCAAGCCATGTTGGTTTTCAGGGTGAGGCTCAGCCACTATTTCGCACCAACACCGAAACAAATCCTTTTTATGCGAATTGTATTGTTCTTTTCTTTGGCGTTGATGAAGTTGACGTCACTTATATTAGCCTACGAAATGTGAGGCTATTCTTCAAATGGATTCTCATGCGAATTCCTAATTTCCGGGAATTCAGGGGCACTTAGGGATACTCAGGGCGACTCGTTGTATTAGCAACTGCTTACTCTAGGCAGATACACCCACACGTTTCCGCTATGATTAAAAAAGGACTTCACCAGATACTTGTCACACGCATGACTCGTCGCCTCGAAAAACGATCGGCCCGTAACCAATTCTGGCGCGAACGAGCCGATTTGTCAGGTTATACGTGATACCTATGCATCCCATGATGTCCGAAATACGCAGAGTAGACATCCCCGACCTCTACATACCAAATGAATGTGATAGCTCACCGATTCCCCAAATGAGGTATAGGGCACAGGTCAATCCCATGTCCCGCTCCATGCTTCCGAACGGGTTTAGGGCTGAATCTTGGGTGCATTTAATTAATCTCTGCACAGGACCCCTTGCGTCTCCATCCTTGGACGCCTTTTCAAGCAAACCACCCCTGCGTTGATCACCTTTGTCCCTTCAACACACTGACCTTTCGCGCTCAAAGGAGGAAATATGTTTACATTTCTAGGTAATGACCGTCAACGACCGGGGACTTAGTAGCGAGCCGTTGCCTATCACGACCCAAGATGCTATTTCGCCTCGTTGACCGAGTGATCTCACGTCATACTACATAGACGTCCCCAGGACTCCAAGCAGGGGTTCGCTCTATGCACTATGCGTTTCCGCGCACCTTCCGTATGGGCTAAGCAACGGTCCCGGGGAAAAGGATAGTGGTTTCGGCCGTAAATCGAGGCTCAGGATAGGGGTTAGGGCGAAATATCAAAGTCCCTCACGACTAGAATTATATTCCCCCGCGCCAAGCTTGATGAAATCCTCGGTCGGTTGCACATTCGTTCGAAAAGTGTTCGGTCAATTTATAACGGAAAACTCCTCAAGGGAAAGCGTAGATGACTTACTAGAGAGATTATCTAAGTTCTTACACTGTGCCGCGGCTCGACATTGCGGCTCAAAGGATGGGAGGGTTGTTTTTTTTTTTTTTTGCTCGTATCAACTCTCTAGGAATACGATCACGCCCTTGATCAACGTGAACGGGCCAAGTAAGCCGATATTCATGACACCAACTTTTTACAACTCGGCCCTTCCGTACAATTTTTAACAATTTACCTATTTAACACACGGGGGACGCGGAAAACGCATAAACACGACTAATTACTCGTGGTGCGCCTTAATTGCCCCTCGGGCCTTATTCCAGGTAGAAGGCGAAGACCGAGGACTGTCACGACTTCACTCGGTCCCTTTTGATTAAATTTTGCCATTAGCTACTCGCAGCGTTTCGGTGTAGTCGTTAAGGCATAAATCAGATAATGAATTCTTATCATGCATATATTAAACAAGACCGAGAACTGCGATTTCATCTTAAAGAGTTGGTGTCTACATCAAGAAAGTACCCGTTGGAAACCGGCCCGGAAAGCGCGGAGGATTCTTTTAAAATTACTTACACACCTACTTACACCCTGCTTCCCATGCAAAATAGGGGACGAGAACCTTAACCGTAGACTTCCTTGGAGGAGCGTTGTGGCACGGCAGCTTTGATCGAAGACAGATCGCTCTACCAGATCGCTATGATGTTTAGCAGCGACCGCAGACATTGAGCATGTCGATGTAGCTACGGAGCTCTGTCCTGGAGAATACATCCAATGGGGATAATTCCGCACCTCCATCAAGTCCATCATAAGCCTCGGCAGCCGGCTAGGCTTGGCGAATGAGATGGACGATCCAAAGCTAGAATTGGACCCATGCTGCGGCAATGCCCGCTGATCAATCCGCAGCCTAATTCGGCAGTTTACGTACTTACACTATCTCCTATGTAGGTGCCTAAGATAGCCAGGTCAACGAGATGCTGTGTATCTAGGTAGGTATGTACATGGCTACTCACAACAAGCCGGTCCAAGTCGAGAGTTAAGAATCAGCAGTTGCAATGCTCGTCAGGACCGAGAACGACAGAGACCAACACAGCCACAGGAATAAACATCTGACAAAGGGACGGGACTTTGGTAGGAGGAATATGGGAAAGTACATGCCTACCCTTTTTGAAGAGAAGCGATGGTCTTGTGATGCGGTTCTAGGACTCACGGGTTGATCAAAGTGGCCTCAAATACTCCAAGAACATGATATTCAGGCCATTTTCTGCGGCCATCTCGCTACAACTTGACCTTCCACTTTTCAAGACCACGTTTGGTAAAAAAAAAAAAGAGGGTGTGTTTAGTAATATCAGAGCAGTCAACGAGTTGCCTCTCTTGAAAATGTGGTGTAACTTCGGGGGAAAAGTCTGGCTGTGTGAACCTTGGCTACATTGTACAGCAGCCTGGGGCTCTAGGACGGGACCATGGTCGCGCAATTCAGGTATACCCGTTAAGGTATTAGGTGCGAGTGAGTCATAGTATCGACGTGACGCGAGCTCCCCCCGTCACGCCGCTTAGGCAGGACTCTAAAGAAGAAGGGCTTGGATCTGCTAGATTTCTCCGCCGATGACGATTCACACCTTCAATCACTAAAGAGGGAGTCAACAATTATTGACACATGACTGTCGCCACTCATTATCATTTTACAAAGCATCTCAGATATGACGATGCCGAACGTCAGGTATAGAAGGGGTTTGAATAGAGCAGAGCCACCCTCTGTGTTTCCGAGGTTTCACTAGGTATTTGGCTAGCTGCCCCTAAGTCATTTGCCTCCAAAGCTCAGATATCTTGTACGGAAGTATTCAAGCTTACCCGACTCTGCCAAACAGAAGTTTATGTAACTAACAATAAGATTAGGAGATTTATACCTACCTACCTAGGACGAGCATTCATCTCATCACAGAGCATACCACCCGCCAACCAGGAGCCACAACCTGGCACAAACACATTGCCCCCGTAAAGTGGCCAGTAACTTGAGTTTATCTGGGAGCAGCCCATAAAGTAGATTCATCTCTACGAAGTTCAAAATGCTAGGCAGAACCCCGAGAATGTTTGCTTCGAAGCTAGGGTACGATCCACAATATACTATGATAGGGCTACTGTGATTCTAATATCGAACAAACAGTGGGAACCATAGATGAGACTTCATTTTCCTCTATACAATGTACGATAATATGAAGTTAAGTACCCACACCGGTTCATAGATAGCTATCCTTCCATTATTAGATTTGTATTCGTTTTATGGAGGAATGTTTAAGCCCCCAAATCTCTTCTAGGCAACCATAATGCGCTTCTACCCTATTTTACCCCTTAAATGACATAGGCTCACTGATTCAATTGAATGAGGGCGAATGATTTAACTATTACTGGGTCATTTGAACTTGAGACTTGTTCAGGGTCGGTGTTAGTCTCGAGACGCCAACCCGATTTTCGCCTTTACCAGTCTTCGCATAGTATACTACGAAGAGGGGCATCTACGAAGTATCATTTACAACAGAGTATTAGGAATCTTCTCATTCACTATCGACCTTGGCCCGGTGTATGCACTGTAGATTTTGGAGTCGTATCATATGAGTCCAGTTGTTGAAGGAAGTAACCTGTTCCACAAGTATGGACTTAATAGGGGTTAAAATCTAAATTCAGATTATATACTGATCCAGTATCTTGCCCAAGATACCTTTACTTTATCCGACTAATGAATACGACGCCTGAACATCTCTATACCCGAGTATTGTAGAGGTTTTGAAGGCCATCGTTGTGTGTTGGTCACATGCATGTTCGCAGCGCCTAATGGCTAGGCTTTACTTACGACAGCTGCTGAGGCGCACTTTCTTGTATGTAGCTCCCTTTCACGCTCGCTCCCGACGACGGTATTCATGTGCTCCATCCCTGGCCTATATACTTAACGAGAACTGAACACTTGGACAAAATTTCCTTAGGGGGTTGGCATAGGGACATCTTAACGATCAACCATACATGGGGTTGGGCGTACTAGCTCAAAATTCGCTCCAGATTGACGAATGGGATACTATTGTTCCAAGTTGGGGCTCGATAGATAAAGCTCAAGCAGCACGACTACGTGTTATGAGTAGCGTTGGATTGCAAAGAGAAGGTCTGGAATCTCAAGCACACAAATCGCTGGGGGTAATCCGAAATCCAACAAGAATTCGAAATCGTCGACTACGCGCAAGACTCAACCCTCGGGAGCTTTTCTGTAATGAGGCGCTTCGATTCGTTGGCGAGGGAAAAAGGGGTTACTATCTCCCTACTCACTACTAAGGGAATAATAATCCGATTGCCTTTGCCATTTGGATGGAGGCACCACTCGATAATCCTATAACCATACAAGGTCCCATAGACACAGTGTCACTATCTTAGTACTCGTTGCCTCTAAGCTCGAATGGATTGAGCGTTGGTCGCAAAACGGCGATATCATTGAACGAATACATCACTAGCGAAGGCGAGCGGCGTATAGCAGAAACATTAGATGAGCGTCCAGGAGTCGTTCTTATCCACGAAGGTTATGGTCCTGATAATAATATTGACCAGCAGTGATGATCGATTATACGGATAGAGTCTGAAGGTAGCTTAGGGGATGTTTATGAGCAACGACCTCGGTAACATTACCTAGGACATAGACTGGGACTCGTACGAAGTCGCCACCATGTCGCTATCCTTACCCGGCTAACGCAGGCAATGTTGAAGTAGTGACTCATACATG